CACTGGGGTAAAATAAATCTAAAAGCGGTATATTACAAATATACCTGTGCAGTAATTCTAGAGAGAACCCAGTAATGTTGAGACATTTAAAAAACAAAAACAAAAAAAATGACTTGCCAGTGAATCCTGCCTTAAGCGAGAGCTGTAAAGTTTCTAAATACTTCTTTCATTTCTAGAAGGTAGACTAGTTGGCCTAAGGCAAAGGTATTGTTTAAGTGTTCATCATGGAAGTATTTAGAGAGAAAATGGAAGTTTTTATAGAGCATCTAACGTGGGACACATTACATTTCAGCTTTGGTGTTTTAATGTATTTTTAATTTAGCTGAGTTATAAATGTGCAAAGTTGGCTGGTGATCATAAGCCCAGGTTGTCTGATTTGATCACATGATGCTGAGCCCTGCTAAGACCTGTGTGATACCAAAGGATTCCCTTGGCAGGGCTTGTTGGTGTAATTAGCATCTGTGGTGAATGAATGCTAAATTAGAGAATGGAACCGCATGATCAGAGGATGTACAGATTTTAGTGCATGTGTAGTGTTAAAAGACGGAGAAGGCAATGGACCTGCTCCAGTACTCTTGCCTGGAAAATCCCATGGACGGAAGAGCCTGGTGGGCTGCAGTCCATGGGGTCACGAAGAGTCGGACACGACTGAGTGACTTCACTTTCACTTTTCACTCTCATGCATCTCATGCATTGGAGAAGGAAATGGCAACCCACTCCAGTGTTCTTGCCTGGAGAATCCCGGGGACGGGGAGCCTGGTGGGCTGCCATCTATGGGATCGCACAGAGTCGGACACGACTGAAGTGACGCAGCAGCAGCAGCAGCAGCAGCAGTGTTAGAAGAGCAGGTTTCCATGCTGCAGCTTTCTGGTTGATGAGGTTATTTCGAAAAGTAAAGAAATAATATTTTAAAGTAGCAAAGCAGAACAAGAGTGGAGTGTCTTCTCCTTACCTTTGTCTGTGAAGAGAAGGCAGCCTGGCCCTTTGGCACTGATCCTGCTGTGGGACACCTTCGCATCAAGAGATGTGAAGTTTTTCAAAGAGAGCAGAGTTTTTAAAAAACCTTTCAGTAGCTGTTTTCACAGGAATTTGTTGCTGACTATTAAAGTGAAAGGACTGGTCTGATGGAGGTAGTCATTCCCAGCATCCCATCAGTGAATCAGAGAAGTGACAGTTATTCTGCCTGGAGTTGATCCAGGAATTGGGTGTGGAACTGGATAAATTAGTTTTAACCCTAAAACCTAGCCACTAACAGGATCTAGTGGGGAAAACTTAAGACTCGAAGATTCAGGAAACCTGTGCAGCCCCCTTGGGTGCCTCACGAGGTCTTCCTCTTTGGAAGACACACAATATTGAGTCCTCATTGGAAATGTTTTGAAAATTTGAAAATGCACTAGAAACGTAGTGTAGATGTTAATAGTGATACCGGGTCAGCTCTGACCAAGTCTGTGTTTTGATGTAGTATTTTATTTCAGAATTTAGTCTGAATTTTATTTTGCTGCCGTAAGAATAATCTGTAGTTTAATGTAGTCCCTTTTGAATCTGTTCCTTTTTTAACCCGATCCAGGTGAACCCAATTAATCCTAATTCATTTTTTAGTACTGATGTGTTTTAGTTAGGTACATGTAACCTCACTTGGTTCTCAAATTAATTGACTGGCAACTGAGTGGAGTAACAGATGCCACGGCCAGATTGCCCTCAGTTCCAGTGTCAACCAGCTCTCCTCCTCCTCCAGTCCTGCACCTTTGACATCTCATCCTTCGGTCCCTTGGCTGTAAGGGCAACTTGAACAAGCTTCAGCCCTTTCTCAGACTCCCAGGCAGGACTTGAATGGATTTGACCCTGGAATTGTTCCTGATGCAGCCTTGTTCAGTTCTTGCTGCTGCCATGCTGGATTCCAAAGATCCACTCTTTCCTTGGCTGGTCTTGCAGGGTCAGGCCCATTGGTCAAAGCTCATCATGTATTTGGTGGGGAGGTTCACAGTGAAGGAGGGACTCCGCTTTGGGTGTTGGACCTGGAGGCAAAAAATCAGCATTCAGTTTAAAAGCACTAAGTGCCCATTGTTTAGGCAGCTGTTAATCAACCATGTTTCTATGAAAATAAGTCCTTTTCATGAGGCAGTTGTGTGGGAATAGCTAATTCTGGCCTGATGCTGTGCAGTGTGAGGTTAAAAACATGGTAACTTGTCACAACACAATTCTTCTTGTTCTTTCTGCTGTGGGCTGACTCTACATTACTCGCTTTGTTTGCTCTAGAATGGAATCTACTCACCATTTACTAAAATGAAATGCATTTCTTGGGGGAGGCAAAGTCCAGTTCACTAGGTCATGCATCTTAAAGAGAAAGAAGCCTTGCTCTCTCTGTGACTAATTGTTAGGAGTGTCGTTTGGCTCATTTGAATCCAGATTGCCTGTCTGGAGTTGGATTTATACACTGGGGCTATTTGTATCTTAGTTGAAAGAAATTCATATTCACTGTTCTTAGCATTACAGGTTAATTTTTAAAATCTCAGGCAATAGGTAGAGGTGAGTATTAGAGAGAGCCCAGTATAGTAGATAGGGTACAGCTCAGCTTTGGGATCTGACAGGTGTGGGTCAACACCCTGACCTCCAGCCAGTTTTCAACCTCTAAGCCTTAATTTCCTCCTTTGAAACATGGGAATAATGAAACTCACCTGATGAGCTAATGTATGGAAAGTGCCTGGGCTCAGTAATGATAACTGATTTTCCACAGAAGTCATCTTTTGAATTTTGGAAAGAAAGCCAGTGCTGAACTTATGGCTTCCTTCTCTTTCAGGAAAGAAAGGGCACCTCTCTGTAGCTCTCCAGAGTGCTCCATCTTTTTTTTTTTTACATTGTTCCATCTTCGACTAACAGGCTTTCTGCACTGACACAGCATGTATCTGAGTGCCCAGCTGCCTTTAGCTTTCCTCAGGAATTTGTGTGGTCTTAGCCACTGGCTGACTGAGAGAAGGCCCGGTCTTCTCAAAGAAGGCTCAGTCTTCTCAGGTACAGTTTGGGTCTAATACTTCTTTTGCATTTTCTCCTCGCATTTCTTCATAGTGGTTTGACTCAACTTCTGACATCCAGTGTGGGAGAAGTCCTTTCTTCAGTCTTTTGTCATGTCTGCTCTTTTTTTTAATGTTTATTTTTATTTATTTATTTGGCTGCACAGGGTCTTAGTCGTGGCACGTGGGATATAGTTCCCCAACCAGGGATCAAACACAGGGCCCCAGCACTGAGAGATCGGAGTCCTAGCCACTGGATCACCAGGGGAGTCCCTGGCATGTCTGCTCTTAAAAGATAGGCTCTTCATCATTTTTATAGTGCCTGGCTCAATTTACTATTACAGTATGGTGTTCACCATGTAGAAGGATTGTTCTGGGTCTTATAAGTCTTGCACTTGAGGGATCCTTCTTGAGAACTTTTAATAGCAGATGGCCTCTTTACAGCATTGTGACAATTGGTATAATAAAATTATTCAAATCCATCACAGATCAAACCTGTCAACATTTATAGGTCATTTTCCTTTTCTTTTTTTTTCCTTAGTTCCCTGACCAGGAATCGAACCTGAGCCTTTGCAGTGAAGGTGCCAGATCCTAACCACTGGACTGCCAAGGAAGTCCCCCATTTTGCCTCTCCTTTCTGCCAGCAGACCTTTCATGTTAGTGGGACTTGCCAAGGCAGTGATGGAAAAAAGTGGAAAGGGAGATCGCCTCAATAAAAGGTGGCTTTACCAGTTTATAGTTTAAAATACATGAGTAAATAAAATCACAAATCTCCCCAGTACCACAGTGCGTAGAATCAAGCTGTAAACTTATACCATCACCAAGGTTAAGAACTGTACTCTCATCGCCACTTCAGGCAGCCCTTGAACTGGGCTCTTAGCATGTGTTAAGGAAAGAAAAAGAAAAAAAGAAATTCCATTACTCTTCCTTATAACAGAAGTGCCCAGATATTTAGTTATGTTACAGTAATCATTTTGGCAAAGAATTATCGTTGTTATTCAGGTTGGTCATTAGGGTGATTCATTGGAGTGATTTTGGATATCTCTGGTATAGGTTACAAGTTTGTTCTTTGAGACATTATTGGTCATATCTGATTTGATTTTAGTTCTTTGGTCAAGATTATAATTCCCCATTATATATCATTGTTTCTTTTTGAAAGTATAGTTTGTCTCATGGCACAGCTTCAAAAAATGAATCTTGGAGTAGGGCAGAATTTTTTATATTACCCATTGGGTGGTTATGCAAGGTACTAGAGGGATGGTCAGGGGAGCAGTAAGCATCCACACAGATGTGAAAGACAGAGAGACTTACAGTAGGTGGGTCCTTCTTAGAGTATGACTCTGGCAGCCGATATTTTGTCTCTTGTCTCCCAAGTTCTTGGTGTCTCCTGTCACTCAGCTCTGTCCTCCATCTTAAACACCAGTATGCTATGCTTTAACATCTTTGTCACCTGCTTTTGCTCTTTCCTTCCGGTGACCAATGCATGAGCCCCGTTTTCGAAAGAATAAATCATCAAGATTCCAAGGATACGACTCATTCCACATTGAGAAATCAGTTGCCCCTGAAAGGAATTTCCTATAACTGATTTTGTCAGTTTGCTAAAGAGACAGAAGTTGTGACACTGTGGAAAGGAAATAAATATAAAAATTTTGTCTCTGTGAGTGTCTATAAATTGGTGTCTGTCCTAAGGGAATGATTAAAGGTAGGGATAGTGAGAGGGAGGTCAGGCAGCATAAGAGAGTTTTTTTTATTTAGTTTGAATGTATCTAAGTGACAAAAAAATATAGCATCTGAAAAACTCAGATTCTCTCATTAGCACCTACCTCCTTTTGGTGCATCAGCCCATCGAACAAATCTGTGAATTCCTTCAGGTATCGCATTAACTTTCAGCTCAATGTGCTGGGGACTCTAGACCAAAAGATTGCTCCCTTGAGATTACAGAGGTCATTCTCTGGGTATAGTAACTTGATTCTCTTTCTCTTTCCTTTTCAGAGAAGCAGAGTCTTTCAAGGAACAAGGAAATGCCTACTATGCCAAGAAAGATTACAATGAAGCTTATAACTATTATACAAAAGCCATAGGTGAGAAGGAATATGCTTGAAAATAATTTGCCAAATGCTGTTATAAATAGCTCCTCTGTAAGAAGTAATCTTTCTGCTTAGTGGGTTGATAACTGTTAACTGTGTGAACTATTTCGGGTTTAATGACTTGAAAGAATAACTTTTTCTGGCTCAAGCAGGTGGTTCTTCATTTGGCAAATTAAAGGCAGTTCCAAAAATTCTAGATAATATGGCAGAAGGATATCCACCTTAATCCCCTCAACCATTGCCAATTCATTTACTGTCTTAGAAAATGACCTTTGTAGATTTTTTAAAATTGATTAATCTTAATTGGAGGCTAATTACTTTACAATATTGTGGTGGTTTTTGCCATACATTGACATGAATCAGCCACGGGTGTACATGTGTCCCCCATCCCGAACCCCCCTCCCACCTCTCTCCCCATCCCATCTCTCTGGGTTGTCCTGGTGCACCGGCTTTGAGTGCCCTGTTTCATGCATCGAACTTGGACTGGTGATCTATTTCACACTGAGGAAACCAGAATTGAAAGAGACCTTTGTAGATATTAACGAGTCTTAGTTACATGCTCAGTTTGCAGTATTTTAATCTCCTATCAGCATTTTTCTCACCTAACTTGCTCTGTCTGCACCTCTAACTCAACAAATGCAAATTCATTTTTGTATCTTATTACATAAAATACAAATCATTAAGATAAATGTGCTAAGCCCTCACTCCTAAAAGATAATCAGTACACTTTAAAGCTAAGTATAAATTATTTCTAAATAACTTTATGTGTAAGTTGATTTCACCCTCGCTGCTGTCCATTGCACAAGAAGTCAAAAATTGGGCCATGGACTTTAAAGAGAGCATGCCAACATTCCTGATATAGTTTGATTGTCTTGATATAGTTCTAAGGGTGTTGGGGCCCCTGAGTTTTTGAAGCAGTGACCCATGCTAAACTTTGTTTCACATTCTTCTGCCTTTCCTGTAGATATGTGTCCTAAAAATGCTAGCTATTATGGGAATCGAGCCGCCACCTTGATGATGCTCGGAAAGTTCCGGGAAGCTCTCGGGGATGCACAGCAGTCAGTGAGGTTGGATGACAGTTTCGTCCGGGTATGTAATAGGGCTGTTTCGGGGTACTAAGTTGCTTATACTTGAGTTTAAGTATAAGGTTTCTCAGATTGGACATTATTAACATTTTGGGCCAGATAATTCTTTATTGTGGGGGGCTGTCCTATGTATTGTAGGATATTTTCAGCAGATCCCTGCTTTCCCAGTTGTGACAAGCAACAATGTATCTAGCACTGCTGAATGTGCCCTAGAAGGCAGAATCACCCCTGGCTGATAACTGCTGCTCTGGCTCTCTTCACCCCTTGTTGGTTTTGTGTGGGTGTTCCTGCTGTTGATGTCCCTCTGCTTGGCCAGTCATGTTCCTTTTCTTCCCCGTTTGTGTTTCTCCTAGGGACATCTACGAGAAGGCAAATGCCACCTATCTCTAGGGAATGCCATGGCGGCGTGTCGTAGTTTCCAGAGAGCCCTAGAACTGGATCATAAAAATGCTCAGGCCCAGCAGGAGGTATGGGCTTGACCCTGTCTGTATCAGAGGAAACACGGTGGTGTACTTGGGAGGAATAGGGACTTGAAAATCAGAACCGAGATCCTGTCTCACTTCTGCCATCAGCCACACCTGGGTGACTGTGCACAAGTCTCATAGTCTCTCTGAGCCTCAGCTTCCTTAATCTGTAGAAGGGGTTTTGAGTATGATTTACAGCTTTGGAAAATCTATGAAATTTAGAGAGTTTCTGAGTTGGCGGGAGTGGGGCATGGGCAGATGCATCAAGGAACTGATTTGAGTGAGGTTAAAAAATTTGTATGAATTCAGATCCTAATTGTTAACAGCTAAAACATGTTTTAATTCCATTTTCTTATGTACCTCGTTTACTATTGGATATGTTTTAGTAAGAATCTCACTAAACCCCTGACAGTGCCTCTTATTTTACATACATCTTGTCATGGTTCTTATGTTTCTGACTTTTAAGTTCAAACTGAGGGTGAAGGTTGAGCCTTAACCTTTCTGTTAAGAAGTCTTGGCTACATCTTTGCCAATATGACTTGTGAAAAGTCTGTGGTTCTGATTTTCTTTAAATAGATTCATCAAGGCCCTGTTGGGTTTTGTGGTTGTGGAATCTACAGCTTCATTAAAACTCTCTTATATGATTTTTCTGGTATAGTTCAAGAATGCGAATGCAGTCATAGAATATGAGAAAATAGCAGAAACGGATTTTGAGAAGCGGGATTTTCGGAAGGTAAACTACAACTATGTAAAAATCTCATCACTTCTCTCACAAAGTTTGTGTGTGTGTGTGTGTGTGTGTGTGGTAATTAGGGGAGTAGTATGGTACAGAAGATCTAAAACAGTAAATTTTCTCTTTAATTTGGCATTGACCATTTCTTTCCCTCTTTTTGTCTTAAAGACTTAATTTTTTAAAAAACCGTTTTAGGTTCACAGCCAAATTGAAAGGAAAGTACAGAGATTTCCCATAACCTTCCTGCCCCACACTTGCATAGCCTCCCCCTGTGCACATTCTCCAGAGGGGAATTCCAGAGATGTATTTGTTACAACGTGTTTTGGGCAGTTATGAATAAAGCTGCTCTAGACATCTGTGTGCACGTTTTTGTGTGGCTGTAAGTTTCACCTCCTTTGGGTTAATACCAAGAAGTGCAATTACTAGATCCTATAGTAAAAATTTGTTATATTTTGCAAGAACCTATCAGACTGTCTTCAAAAGTGGCCTGTATCCTTCTGCATTCCCACCAGCAAGGAATGAGAGCTCCTGTTGCCCCACATCAACAGAGTTAAAAGAAACTTTTTTTTTGTTGAAGTGTTTCTTTTAATTATATTTCACTTTGTAATAAAAAGCAGTACAAGTCTGTTACTTGAGTTCATTCCTATTTCTGATAGGAGGTAGTAGTCTTAAAGTGTGTTAGTAAAGGAAAAGCCAGTTGGAATTAAATATTAAGTGTGGATTGCATATTTTTATTAGAATAATGAGAGCTACCTTTAATACCTGTGAACTGAATGCAGCTATAAATAAAAAATAGAGGCCTCTTTACGTTTTTGAATAGTGTTTATAGCCTGTCGTCACTACCCTCTTGGTGTTAAGCATTTCCATGAAAGCACACCACTGTCCTTTATGGCGCTGTATGATAGTTCATGAAAAATGTACTTGGCAAAGGGATTGACCTGTGTAAAACATGGGAAAGGTATCCGAGTTCCAGGTATCTTTCTAGGTCTTGAGCAAGGGAACTTGGAAGCAGCTTTCACTAGGTTCAAAGGGACGTAAGTGGTCCTGAAAAGGGTTAAAAGTCATTGATAAGCATCAGTTTTCAGGATCACTTAAAAGAAGTTTGTATCATCCAAGAGCTGGAGTTGTCAATTCATATGTGGGAATTTGCTCAGTACTTTCTGTAGCAGGTCCTCAAATGCTTGATGAAAGGGTATAGTTAAGAATCATTCTTAAGTCACATACTGTGATGGTCTTTATTTGGTAATATCTGATTAGCTTATAGAGTCCCAGCATTAACTTACTAGCATCCCTCTTCTGTCCGTTGGTTTTAGTAACCACAGTGTCTTTGTAGTGTGGTTCGTACTTTGTGTGTGTGTGTTTGGAAAGCAGTTCTGCCTCCTGTCACGTTTTCTGAGGTTTACATAAGCAAAAGCTTTGTCTCAAAAGGCGGTCTTTTGGGTTTCTTTTCTTTCTTGCCTATCCTGGAGCCAGAATCCCCAGTTTGTGACAGAATCCTCTGTTTGTGACATCCCAGCCCCCCCACTGTAGTTCATGGTGATGTCACAAATGAAGAATTATGATCCTGGCAGGGGAAACAGATGAACTTGTAAGAAACAAAGATCTTCTTTGCCTGCAGCTGTCCATAGTCCTGGGGAGGTGGGGGTGGGAAGTGAAGCCCTGAGGCTCCAACTGACGCTCCCCACCAGGAGCTGAACCGACTCCGTACAGAATGTAGCAAAGGCAGCAGGGTGTGACTGCTTACATTTGACTGACTGCTCTCCCCCAATTCTTTTTCTGTTTAAGGAGGGGAAAATTAGCACCATGACTCCCGTACTTAATGCCTGTATTTTCCTATGGTCCTTAGAATTTCCAGGGTATAACCTGTGCCATTCAAGGTGAGGTGCCCCCACTGTTGACACTGCAGAAGTCTTCCAGGTGCAACAGGTCATGGTGTTTACTTACTCTCCCTTACTTTTAAATTTAAATATTTGAATAAATGCTATTCTTGGTTCAGAAGCGGGAAAGTATAAACAGTGATAAGTGTTTCCCCAAACTTGTCTTCCATCTGTCTATTTCTCACCCCCGGGGTAAGCACTGTTCTTGTTCTATTTTCTGCTACAGTTTGGTCTACATAAATAAACAAATACAGATTTTGGCCGTGCTGTGAGGCTTGCAGAATCTTAGTTCCCCAACCAGGGAGTGAACCCGGCCCCTGGAAGAGAAAGCGCCAAGCCCTAACCACTGGATCACCAGGGAATTCCCAACAAATACAAATACAGATTCTTCATTTTCTTTTTTTTTTTTTCTCTTTTGAATGAAAGGTAATAATGCTATGCAAAGTTCTATACCTTGCCCTTTTTATTTTTTTATTTAATAGGCCTTGGAAGGCTTTCCATATTAGTATGGAGAGCTGCTTCATTCTGCGTTAGATCCACATATTGTTCTATGAATGTCTACATTACCTAAACTAGTCTCCTGTTGATGGAATTTGAGTTATTTCTAAGTTTTCAAACTTCATCACTTCTTGATCCCGATGACCATATTCTTAGAGGGAATAGGTGTCCCTGAACTCCAGATTTCTCTGTTGGATCAGTTATTCCTAGGAGAATATGATTCAAGAAGGATCTCCCAGGAATAGCAGATAAACAAAAAGCGAAAGCTCAGAGAACAAACTGAGAAAAAAGATGGAAATATATGGAGAGTCTTTATGAAGCTGAAAGACTGAAAAAAATTCCAGCTCTGTGTGTGTGTGTGTGTGTGTGTGTGTGTGTGTGTGACTTAACATTTTGGTTAGTATAGTGACGTGGTAAGTATAGCCTAGGACCACTGAAGATGAGCTCATATATTGGATATTCTGTTCTAAAGTGGAAGAGCAGCCACCAGGGCAGGCAGTGAGATGTGAGGCTCACGCCACAGGAAGGGGGAGCTCTGAGTGACGTCAGTAGTATAGGGAGCAGTGAGTCTTTAGCAGGTTCTTTTTTGCTGTTCCTTGTCTTTCTTACTAGGCTAAATGTGATGAATTATGCAAAGTAGAAAATAATAGTATTTCTGCTAGAAGAATGAGAGTTGGGTTTTTTTTTTTTTAATTTTATTTATTTTGGACTGTGCTGGGTCTTTGTTGCTGCATGAGCGCTTTCTCTAGTTGCAGTGAGTGGGGGCTGTTGTCTGGTTATGGTGTGTGGTCTTCTCAGTGTGGTGGCTTCTTCTGTAGCAGAGCATGGGCTCTAGAGTGTGGGATTCAGTAGTTACAGTGCGTGGGCTCGGTTCCCCTGCTGCATGTGGATTCTTCCCAGGCCAGGGGTCTAACCTGGGTCCCCTGCATTGGCAGGTGGATTATTCTTAACCCCTGGACCACCAGGGAAGTCCAAGAATGAGAGTTTTGATCACAGTCACTATCGATCGGATTCCCTGTGGAGGCACCTTAGCATGGTGATTAGGGTTATAGGCTCTGGATCTTCGTGTCTAAGATCAAATTCTGTTCTTATCACTTACTAGCTTTGGTGACCTTGAACAAGTTACTTTAATCTCTAGTTTTATCATCAGTCAAGAAGGGTAATAGGGACTTCCCTGGTGGTCCAGTGGTTAAGAATCCGCCTCCCAACGCAGGGGACACAATTTGGACCCCTGGTCAGAGAACTGAGATCCCACATGCTGCGGGGCAACTAAACCTGAGCGCCACAGCTAGAGAGAATCATGTGCCATAGCGACGAGCCTGTGTGCCGCAATGAAGACCCAACCCAGTCAAATAAATTAATTTAAAAGATAATAAAGCTAGAAAAAATAAAAATAAGGGTAGTAATATAACTTTCTTGATAAAATTGTTGCAAGCATTAAATGAGTTAGTGAATTAAAGTACTCAGTAAATGTTTGCTGTCGTCGTCATCATCTGGATCAGCTGCTCTCCTCATTTCACTGGTTTAATCTGGTAATTTAGGAATGTTCTTAAACCTCTGGCATTACTTTCCCTTGAATCTCTGTGTTACCTGTGACCAGACTAAAGTGAAGACATTTTTGGAGTTCAGGAAGAAGAACCTCATTTGCTTTCTTCTTCCCCATAGGTTGTTTTTTGCATGGACCGTGCCCTAGAATATGCCCCTGCCTGCCATCGCTTCAAAATCCTCAAAGCAGAATGTTTAGCAATGCTGGGTCGTTACCCAGAAGCACAGTCTGTGGCCAGGTATGAAGTCAAGCCAGTTCTGCAGTGAAATGCCAGATAGCACTGAACAAATGCTGTCCAGCAGCTCTCTACATCAGGAGTTACATATGGTCCTATAGGTAGGGTGATCAGACCTTCCTGGGACTTAAAGCCAAAGGTTAGAACAGGTCTGAAAACCTACGGGTTTTACAAAGTTCGATAGGTACTTGACCTGTATGTGAAAGAACAGATGTTAAGTGTTCTTTTGTTTCTACTCAAGGGGTTTGCAAACTGTAAAGGACCAGTTAGTAAATATTTTAGGCTTTGCAGGCTGTGTGGTCTCTGTTAACAATTCAGCTCTGTCACTACAGTGTAAAAGCAGCCATAGATAACAGATAAATGAATAGTATTGCTGGATTTCAAGGAAATGTTATTTACAAAATCCAGCAGCAAGTGGGATTTGGTCCTGTGGGCTGTATCTGCCAGCCTTGTTCTAATAAAGATTGTGAGACACAGTGTATAATGGGGGGATACAGGTAATTTGGGAGGAGTTCTTGGGAATCTACCTTTGGATACTTTCCATATTAGACACATGGTCAAGGAAAAAAAATGTCCAAATGATAGAAACGGTGAGGGAAATCCAGACTGTAGCTGAATGTGCCCCTTTCTGGCTTTTGCAGTGACATTTTACGAATGGATTCCACCAATGCCGATGCTCTGTATGTACGAGGTCTTTGCCTTTATTATGAAGATTGTATTGAGAAGGCGGTTCAGTTTTTTGTACAGGCTCTCAGGATGGCTCCTGACCATGAGAAGGCCTGCGTTGCTTGCAGAGTAAGTTGTAGGCACCAGATCTGGGCAGGAAAGAAAGCTTCCGTTTTGCACCTTTAAGACAGGGCGAAAGGTTTCCGCCCGTCACAGGGAGTGTGATAACACTTCTTCCCACCTTGCCAGGATGCTTGGTTCTTTCATTAGAATTTATTTCAGGACAACTTTGTATTTTCCTGAAGGTAAATACGATCATTCAGAGTCAGATCCTTTTCATATCTCAGTGTTTTTTCTTTTTTTCTTCATTCAGTGAAGAAAAGATAGTAATGCTTATCCTGGGGACTAGAGAGAGGTAAACTGGGTAACACAGGTCTCATTGGTGTTGTTTTATAAATCTCGGTTTCTCCTGTCCACTCTGTAGCAAGTACCCATGAGCAACAAATAGCCCAGGTGGTGGGGTTGGGCAGGGTAGGGGGCCATCCTGGGATCTAAGAAACAGAAAATAGACTCTGGACTCTCTTGCAGTGGTCTGAGGGTTTCTGGATGTGAACTGAAACTCCCCTTGCTTTTCTCTGTAGAATGCCAAAGCACTTAAAGCAAAGAAAGAAGATGGGAATAAAGCGTTTAAAGAAGGAAATTACAAGCTAGCATATGAACTGTACACAGAAGCCCTGGGGATAGACCCCAACAATATAAAAACAAATGCTAAACTCTACTGTAATCGGGGTACGGTTAATTCCAAGGTAAGCACTTGGTCTGCAGTTTGGGGCCTATCTTTTTAAGGGCCAACAAAAAGGTCTTGGGAACTTTGCCCAGTAAGGGTAAACCAGATGAGAAAAGGTTAATATTCCAGCTTGTGAGGAACTTCCTTCTGAGAGGCAAGCTTTTATTTTTTCTGTGGGATTTAGGGACACTTGAGGGACAGTTTAGAAGGGTATTCCCACCTGTTCTTCAAAATTCTTCCAGTAAAAAAATGGCTAGGGAAAAAAAGAATGTCTGAAGGCATTGAGACAATTTTTAAAGCAAGTTTTGCTTCTTTTTACCTAACCAAGTGATTCTTTTTTAGGAGGGATTCAGAGGACATGAGAATATGAGGCAGGCTTAGTTTTTTTTCTCCAGTATAACTGATGGTCACCATGCTCATTGGAAAATACCCTAAGTGCTGTCCCACACAACCATCAGGAAACAAGAATAGGCTCCTTACTCCTGCACAGTCCTAGTGGTTTAAAAAATAACAGTAATTCTTATTCCTCCAGTTGGCCTCTGGAAGAATAGGAGGCAAGAACCACCCTTCCTCTTGCCGTGTCTGGTTGGGCACTAACCTGGAACAGTAGATGTGGTTTATGCTTGCAGATAAGTGTGCCATCACTTAGAAACGAACCCAATTTTGAATTTGGTGTCCTTAGCCCTCTGAGGGACTTGCTTTCTAAGAATGAATGTGACAGTGGGCCAGCATGACTAATGGATCCTCTTAGAATTTTGAAGCCATGGCCACAGCTTCTGGGCCCCCTCAATCACCAAAGATGTGAAGTATGACTGCTCTCTCTCTCCTGAAGCTTAGGAAACTAGATGATGCAATAGAAGACTGCACAAATGCAGTGAAGCTCGATGACACGTATATAAAAGCCTACTTGAGAAGAGCTCAGTGGTAAGTGCCTCTGGTGGGTGGGGGGAAGAGGGCATTGCTGCTGGCCTGCCAGGGGAATTGCATTGTAGATGATGAAGCAGACCCGGGGATGTTGTGAGGTCATTTGGTCCTTCCCCCTGCCTCTAGGTGGGATTGTTCCAGCCCTAGAGCTATCTTTATAGACCTCCAGCGGAGGAGATTGCACAAGCTCCCTCAGTCTCCCATGCCTGTGTCTTACGCCCCTCACGGTCAGTAAGTTTCCTCTGATGCCTGACCCAAATTCCTTTTGTTAAAGTTTAAAATCCATTTCCTTTGGAGATTTTATTTTGTGTTGTACACTTTTGCTCTAACTTGACACAGTGCTTAGCACACAGTAGGTGCTCACTCAATTAATGCTTTGTTGAATGAATGTATGGTGCTTGGAAGAGGAAGAATAAGGTGTCTCTTATGGTAGTTGAGAGTTGTGCCTATCCTGTATGTTCTGGGTTAGGGAAGACAGTGCTTCCATAGGAAGGGATTTAATCTGGCTCCGCGTCCCTGAAGTGTAGGGAAGTTCCCTTTGAAATATCCTTGTCTGACTAGGTTATTTATGAGCCAGGACGTGCCTGCCTAGATCCAGCGCTCAGATTTGCCTTCAGAGTCAGGTTGCTCTGCAGCATACTTGTTCATCTTATTTTTGAAGCCACTTGACTCTTTTCTCCAGACAGGAACACAAGCAAGGGCTCAGAGAGACTGCTCCCCCAAATCCATCTTACTTCAGATTATTTCCCAGACAGAGGAGAATGTTCTGTCTTTGAAAGTTCCTAGAGGAAGACCCATTTGTCATGTTGCAGTCCTCCCACAGCCGTCGTGTTCCCTGGGTAGTGTCCTAGCCAAAGGACAGGGGCTGCTCCTGCTGCCTGGTGAGCGGCTCCCCAGTCTCACCAGTGGTGGGAGCATGGGCTGCTTCCCATGTAATGTGCCCCAGATTACCCACATTTGTGAAAAATACGGAAACTGCTCTCCTGTGTACTGCTTTTTTTGTTTTTAAAAGTAGATGACTAAATCTGTCAAACACACACAGAATTATATTACAGATTCTGTGAGACTAACCAACCATCAGTCATCTCCTTTTTTCATACCATTTGCAGACACACATGGAAGCTTTGGAATACAGAAGTGTAGTGTACCCTTTGACCAGCTAAAGACTTATTTTAACAGATAAAAAGTGCTGTATCCATGTTTACTGCAGTGTTACTGTTAAAAAAAGCAGACTCTCACCTAGATGTCTAGTAGAAAGGGGGTGACTAGATACATAAAACTGTGTCAACTCAGTGGAACACTGTGAAGTGTTTGAACAGGGAATGGGAAGAGAACCGAAAATTCTGGATTTTTTAGGAGGGTAATGGGATGAAAGATTTATGTTTTTCATATGTGTGCAATAAACAAATCAGAAATCGCTTTGGTCAGATAGCTCCTTATCTTTGTGGTAGAAACAGAACTGTCCTCTGCGTAGGTCTGCTGTAAGATCCTGCCACGGAGCACAGCTTGCACTGTTGGGCACAGTTGGCTGAGAACTTGGCAACAGTCCTCTGGAGCAGCTGGGACTGACGAGAAGTATTGGAGATTAGCTCAGGCTGAAGCCTTCCCAGAAGCCTGAGTGCTGCCGGGGTCTGCGTCAGCTCACCCCACTGGTGGGGAGAGGCCGGACCTCTGCTGCAGCTCCGGTCATGGGCTAAATGGAGCTTTCCCTTTTCCCTAAAGCTCTGCTTTTCTTTTTCTTTTTAAAATTGTTTTCTTTAATGTTAGGATGTCCTTGAATTTTAAAAAAAGTGTGAAGTAAAACTGTAATATATATAAGTTTATTTTAGTCCATTATGTAAGAGTCTGGAAAGTCTATCAGGTTAGCTTTTTTGTCACATCAGTCTTTACCCAGAGTTGTTATTAATTTTGTGTTACTTCAGTTTGTATTATTATGCTTGATCCTAAAAATGGGTTCTCTGCATTCTTAGTAGCATTTGTGCCCTGCATCTGTGGGGCATCGATTTTGCACCATTTTTTAAAAGTCATAAATCAAGATGTGGCAGAAAATTGGAGATGCCTAAGAATCTTGGGCTTGTCTCTCGCCAGCCCCATCAGTAATGCTCCCTCTGCCCTGGCCTCTAGGCCTAGGGGTGCCGTGTGATGTTGGCAAAGATGAGCTTGTGTGGCAGCGGCCTAAGAAATTGAACCTCTCTGTGCAGTGGCAAGCTGCACTGCATGGTCACTCTCCACTCCCCAGCTGAAGAGTGTTTAATCAGTAGGCCAGTCTCAGAGCGAGTGATATCATCAGGAAAATGCCACTTTATTTCTGTGGAAGAGACATTTATAAGGCCTGGTGATCACCCTGTCAAGCTAGTTTCCTCCCATCTTGGGTCAGGGTCCTTCCTTCCTCTGTGCCACTGAAATAGAATCAAGCCTGTGTTCACAGTCTCCTTTTCTGTCTCACTAACCTATATCTCTCAGACTGACTAGTCTTAATGGAAGTATTTGCCGGCAGCCACCACCTTGAACTTGATCCTTCTCGTGGCTGACTAATCCACATCTCCTCTGGATTGGAGCTGGCCCCGCATGTTTATGGCACTTTTGGTTTCAAAACTCTGCCATATCCATTGATCTCACTTGATAATTTTTCTCCCTTGTTTCAGTCCCAAGTGTCAAGTAGGTACCTTCACATTGTCTCTCCTCAGGTGATCCAGATGCATCTCGGTGGCTCTGAGTGAAATCAGAAGGAACGTTCTCCCCTTGGTTGCTTTCTGCTCAGAGCAGTGTATCACTTTGCTGGTTGGGTGCAGGTGGCATGAGACCTCTCTTTTTCTTGAGGAATTGCTAGCGAATTTTTCTTGTGGTTAGCTTAAGAACTCCTATTTCATGAAGCATCTCAACCAAAAGTTTGTATCTCTTGAGCCATGCCTCTTTCCCTAGAGTGATACCAAAGACCATTGCTATTTATGTCGCTGTACTGCCCTGTATTTCCTTCTCAGTTACTTGGACACAGAACAGTATGAAGAAGCAGTACGGGACTATGAAAAAGTATATCAGACGGAGAAAACAAAAGGTAAAGAATTTTGAGCACATGTTCCTTAGGGAACTGTGTGGTCTGACTTGTAGGTCCTAAAACTGGACACGGGAATAGTTTGATTCAAGGGTGAACCTGGAGCTTACTGGAAGAAATGAGCAGAGATCCCAAATGTGGGACAAGGCACCTGTTTTCTGGTCCCCAGTTCTCCCTGCCACTTTGATTTTCTGTGTGATGAGGCCGATGTGAAGAACCTAAGTGTGAATAGGTTTTTTAGTTTGCATAAGAAAACATCATAAAAGCCCCTCGTATGGTCAGCAGGGCTTCTGACTCCAGGGCATCAGGGCTGGGACTTGGTAAAGGAAGCCAAAAACAGATTTATCCGTTGACGCTGAATGTCTTCCTCCAGAACACAAACAGCTCCTTAAAAATGCACAGTTAGAACTGAAGAAGAGTAAGAGGAAAGATTACTACAAGATTCTTGGTGTAGACAAGAATGCCTCTGAGGACGAGATCAAGAAAGCCTACCGGAAGCGGGCCTTGATGCACCATCCAGGTAGAGTGGGTGGGGAGCGGGACTCAGTGGGAGGAGCAGGTCGGGCCGGCTGCTGCCATGGTCAGTCCAGCACCAAAGCCTCAGAGAGGCTCCTCAGCTGGAATAAGGTGGTGCTCAGTTCTATGCCCTCCAAATGTGGGAAGTACTGGATTCTAAAATGAGACATAATGTAGTCTCTCCCTTGTTTTCTTGAGACTCTGAGTTCTTCCTGTATTCCTCCCTTTAGATCGGCACAGTGGAGCCAGTGCCGAAGTTCAGAAGGAGGAGGAGAAAAAGTTCAAGGAAGTCGGAGAAGCTTTTACCATTCTCTCTGATCCCAAGAAAAAGACTCGCTATGACAGTGGACAAGACCTTGATGAAGAGGGCATGAATATGGGTGGTAAGTTGGGAGTTGGTTGGGGTGGCCTGGGTTGAACCTGACACCTGTGAAACGTTAGCATTTTTCCTGAAGACATTCTGCGGGCGGAGGAGTAGGGTGGGGGTGGGGGTGTCTTATGTCATCAGCCAGTGATGCCCAACAATTTGTTAAGTGCACTCTGATGACTAGCTGTAATGTGTGAGGTACTGTGATGCGTATGAAAAATAACAAAGCTCAATCAAACCCATAGACCAGGGGTTTGCAAACCCTGGTCCACGGGCCAAGTCTGACCCCAGGTCTCATAGACATGGAGCCCGATGAGGGCAGTCAAGTGTAGCAGGTGCCAGGGATACAGAGTGAGTGCCGAGGAGGTCAGCACTAGCAAGGGAAAGCTTGGATATGCAGAAAAGCACAGCACTGTTAGGGAGTGACCAGGGCTCGGCTGGGAGGGAAGAAGGTGCTTGGGGCATAGCCACACAGTAGGTGGGGCAGACCTCAGCAGGCCTTAGAGGCTATAGGAAACATTTGGGTTTTTCCTTTTGGCTGGAAGTTTTTTTTCCTCCCATTGCAAAGTGTCTGGTGACTGATACTTACGTGTCTGGCATATTCCCATAAGCCCTCACAGACTTCAGTTTCCCCAGAAGACTTAGAATGAAGTGAAGCGTAGCTGAGAGCATCAGTTGTGAGTTCAGCTGGAGATAAAAGAAGCCCTGAGCTGTTGTGCACAGTTCTCAGACCACTGCCTCTAATGCCAGCCCTTTCTCTTCCACTGAGAAAATCTTTTGGAACTTAAAATAAGGTTGATGATGCTATATAGATAACCCTGACCCCACCAGTTCAGGGTGGGTGGGTGTGTTTTACAAACCTAAGTTTTAGAGTAATAAACATTGCTCTGCCCAGCAGTTGAGAAGTGCTGTAAGCAGTCAAAAGCTGTTGAAGGGTTTAAGAAGGGGAGCTATGGACCTGATTTCGGCTCTGGAGTTCTATTTGTCATGGCAGTGAGGAGAGCTGGTTTAGAAAAGGTGAAGGGGAGAAGGGAAAACAAGATCACTAGGAGAAGATCGAGGGCAAGGTTGAGAGATGGCATCAGCAGGAGTTGGCTGCTGAACGTGTTAGGACAGGCAGAGGACTAAGTCGAGAGTGGCTTGGGCACAGGTGACTCACTGGGGCCGTTCACTGAGCTGGGGGAACCAGGAAGATGAGTAGATACACAGGCAAAGAATTCACTTTTAAATACCATGTGCCTGTGGGACTGGCCGCTGGAGATAAATCCTGTGCAGTTTAGGCAGACTGGGTACGTGAGGCCCACCGTGGCCTGATGAGAAGAGCACCGCGCTGGGGGAGGCTCGAGGCAGCAGTCTTCAGTGTTGTTGCTTTCACTGACCAGGTGATTTGGGCATGTTACTTGAGCTTCCCCCTTAGGTTTTGTTGAGTATAAATTAGGAATGATCTAATGTATGCCAGTCCCAATACCATGATTGCCACCTGGTAGCTTTTTTTCTGACATACGATGTAGAGAGAATATGGCATCACATGCATGCATGCATTCAGTCATGTCTCATTCTTAGATACAGCCTTGGTAGCACTTAAAGGGATAGCTTCTGGTCCTTTCAGGAGCAGCCCCAGCATTATCGGGAGACAGTGTATAGGTGCAAATGGCATTTCCCCATTGTGGAGAAGGTGCAGCAAAGTGGGTTGAGGCAAGGAAAGCTTTCCTTTAGGACACGCTTGGAAGTAGAACAAAGTGGAATCAAGTAGTGGGCTTGCCTCTCATCCATGACTTTGGGGAAAGGAGGGAAGTGATTGTTACCTGGGAAAGCTTTGGAGACCCATTCTCTGTTAAGTTCCTCTTTAAACACTTCTGATTTTTTCACTTTTTTGTGCTTTCTCTGCTTCTTTTGCTCCACAGATTTTGACGCAAACAATATCTTCAAGGCATTCTTTGGCGGTCCTGGGGGCTTCAGCTTTGAAGGTGGGTGTGCCCAAGTTCCCAGGCCACAAGCCAACACAGGGGCTCCCCCGTTGGGCAGCATTCTGAGAGTCAGAGGCTTATCAGTGGAGGTGGCAGAATTCTCTTCTAGCAGGACATCTATCCCCTTGGGCGCTGCTGAGGATGGGTGGCAGGGGGGTGGTTTCCGCGCACACCCAGCCTAGGGAGCATGAAAGCCACACCTGCTTGGGGTCAGGGAGATATCTCACCCTCACCCCGTGAGGGTGAAGGTGTTAGAACAACACACACACCACCTGCTCGTGGGCTTCCCCCTGCATCCCGGGGCCCAGCCTGTTTTGATACCCTCAGATGGCTTTGCATTTGCGGTTGAAGCAGCCCTTCATAACCAGGGCAGAGTGATCTTCCCTTGGAAACTCAGAGCCAGCTCACAAGCTCTTCTTTTCCCTGCAGCTTCTGGTCCAGGGAATTTCTTTTTTCAGTTTGGCTAATGAAAGGACACCACCCGGAATCCAGAAAATGCAGACTTGCTCAGTTTAACCTCGAATGTGGACACAATTCACCTCCTCCCTTCATCACGTCTCCACGTCCTTAGAGCAGTTTCGTTTTCTCAGTTGGATACCCTGTGTCTGTGTGAGTGGGGTGAAGGAAAGGGAGCCAGTGCTGAAGACAGCGGGGAGGGGAGGGAGGCGGGGGGCGGACAGGGCAGCTTGTGAATTTTTGTTTTACTGTTTAACTTTATTAAAAAAGAAAAAAAAAATTAAGAGAATAAAATGTTTTGACCCTTTCTGGCACTTTGCTCTGGCAGCTGCTTTTTGTCACTCCAGTCAGCGGGCCAGACCTGGGCTCCTAGCACGGAGTGGATGCCCACATGGACTTCAGGCTCAGTCAGCCATCCCACGAGGGGTGTGGGTGCCTGGGGGCAGATGGGGTGCTGGCTGCCCCCTCAAAAATCTGTTTAGCACATGCATGCTAAGCAGGCCCTGGGGATGCTGTGGGGCCCAGCCTGATGCCAGTCATGGGGCAGTGAGTTGAGAACACATTCTGTGGTAGGGGCCACCAGAAATCACTAGAAGCTGCATGCGTCCAAAGTGGGTGCCAGGTGCCCAGGTGGGCTAACTCAGATTTACACAGGCGTTCACAGTTCCCACTACTTGAGGAAGATGGCAACAAAGACAAAATCCTGCCTTCCTGACCCTCAGACCCTTCCCAAGTGGGACAGGCAGCTCCTGGGCCCAGTGGTATGGGTGCTGACATCAGCTCATTAGCTGGAATTCTTAGTAAACGCCCCTAGCCTTCACACGTGTCCCTTCATGGAAGGCAAGCAGGGGCAGGAAGCAGTGGCGTTTGTCATGCTGTTCAGGTCAAGTTTCGTGTTTGTGGTGAATCATCTCAGGACATCCAGGCAGACACTTGAGGCTTTGGCTGAAGCTCCGATTTTTGGTGCTCTGGTTAAGTAGAGATGGCTGGGTCAAGACCTTGGCCCAAATAGCTAACTATTTCTCTTCCTTCTGAGCCTAGGCCCCTTTCTTTTCAGTCTTGTCCCTTCAATGCCAAGACCATGGTGAAATGCTGACTGCATTAGGCCTGGGAAGTTCCCATGTGGTCAACCAGGCCTTTGTTAGCCTGGCTAAGAGATTCTTGAGGGTCAGCTCTTCCCCTGTGTTTCAAGTGGCATTGACCGGAGGGTGCCCTCCCTGGATAACTCCGGGTCTTGCTGAGATCCTTCCAATTGGATTGGCTGGGCACACCTGGGGGCCTGTGCCCAGTGACTGGGGGCGGGGGGCTGCTCTGTGCTACGTGTCCCTGCTGTCTGGGTGCCTCCAAGGCCAGCCTCTCTCCCTCCTGCTTCCTGATGAAAGCCGACACTGTTCAGCTGCCCAGCCTCACCACAGCTGTGCCCAGCCCGCAGAGGGGAGACAGGACCGATGGCCCCAAGCTGGGGGGACAAAGGCAGTCCTAAGGCACCCTGCCCTCACCCCAGGGAAGACTGAGTGGGCCCCAGGAGGAGAGAGATGCACGCAGCTAGGATTAACATGATTTATTTCATTATCAGTCTTACAAGTTGCTGAGGTTGGGCAAAGCCAGGAGAGTAACTTCAGTCCAGGCACTTCTGTCGAGTGACAGCCTGATTAGCAAGGCCGTTACTGAGCTGAGGGCAGTGGAGGGCACCCCAGGAACCCCAGCTCCTAGAGCAGTTAAAACCCCTCCTTCCAGAGGCACCGGATAGGGCTTGGCCCGTGACAGCCAGGGGCCACTCCACTGGCTTTTGGTGCCCACTGACCCCTTTCAGCAGAGACACAAAGGCCTCCAGAGGCACCAAGGAGGAAGGATAGGCTGGGCAGACGGCAATACTGGCGCTTTCCCACCAAGGCTCTGTCTCTGGCCTTGATCTCCCCACCGACACAGCAGGGCCACACTGCTGGAAGGACGGCAGCCCATCCCTTTCCCCAGGTGAGACCTGCAGCCAGCCTGGGGTGTGGCTGCTACCTACTCTGTTTTCTCCCCTAGTTGTCAAACCATTACCTAGTTACAGTGTGAGGAGGGGAAGGTAAACCCTTTCTCTACCCTGGAAAATAGTACACCAATTAGGAAATGGGCTCAAAACCCAGGGATCTACCCATCTCAAATCCACCACTAGTTTTTTGTGGCTGGTGACCAACCACTCCATGAGTACTTGCAGTGCTGGGGTGTCCCTCCCCATTAGCCAGCCTTGTGCGGGGCAGTGAGCCTGGGGGCCCGGTAACTGGAAGCAGGGCTTGGGGTCGTGGCTCCAGTCCAGGCCAGACTTGGCTCAGCCTGTTTCAACTGTGGTCCAGGTTCCTAGGTGACGCCTACCTACCCCCTTGTGTTGAAAGCTTGAGCGTTAGAGGGGAAGGGGGTGGGTAGGAAAAGAGAGCAGTTATTTTACAAGTTTTCAAAAATTACAGGAAAGTTAACTTTGAGTAAAAAATAAAGAATCAAAAGATCAAGCAGAGGGATGCTCCCCTCCCCTCCCCCTTTCCGTGTAAAGAAGGGGCAGGTGGCCCGGGACGCTCAGATGATGGTACACGACTGAAGGGACCCACCCTTGCGGCCGCTGCGTATGGGCACGGCCTTGCCCTTCCCGTAGTACCCCGTAAAGATGGCCCTGACCTCCATCTTCTTGGCCAGGCTCAGCATCCAGCGCCCGCTGCCCAGGGAGTAGAGCTTGCCCCGGCTGAGCTCACCCACCTCCTCGCCGCGGCTGCCCCCCTTCTCCTGCCGCACAATCTCTAGCAGGTCAATGCCCGTCTGCACAGCCTCCACGTCGCCCGCGCAGCCCAAGGTGATGTGTGCGCGGCTGCCCCGTGGCAGGTTGTCAGAGGGGGACAGCTTGTCCACGTCGCTCGGCCACAAGGCCAGCTCCTGCTCGCTCAGCTCTACCCTGGCTCCCGTCGTCTTGGGTGTCACGAAGAGGGCCGAGATGGTCAGCATGAAGGCCTTGCCGTAGGATTTCTTCACTACCTACAAAGGGGGAGAGGGCAGAGGACCGAGCTAGAGGTGGTGGCAGTGACACAGGGACAGTGAGCGCCACAAGCAAAGAGTCTGGTGCTGGGTGGACATCTTTCCACTGACATTGGCAGGTTGCTTAAAAAGCCAGCGGTGCCAGAGGCAGGAGAGAGCAGGGGTGAGCGACGCCAGGCTTCCTGAGATCAGGCCTGGGCTCCCCACCCACGAGCTGCAAGGCTCATTCACCTGTAAGAGAGGGCTGATGCTGAACCTTCCTCAGGGTGAGGACTGAGGACCTAGCAAGGGCTGCTGTCATTACTACTCGACTCAACCCATAAAAGCACCCTGGTATCCAGACAGTATCCTGGAGGGCGGGGTGAGGGCAGAAATAAAGGCCTTTGATCAAAATCTACTCCATACACTGTGGCTTATGGTATACCTGATTCTCAGAAAGCCCATCTCTCCCATTTTGACCATAAAAAACTTCCCTATTTTGCTCATGACCCCTCATCCCAACAGCGTCTACTGTGTGCGTGAACATGTGCTCAGTCATGCCCTATTCTATGCGACCCCATGCACTGCAGCCAGCCAGGCTCCTCTGTCCACGGGATTCTCCAGGCAAGAACACTGGAGTGGGTTGCCATTCCCTTCTCTAGGGGATCTTCCCGACCCAGGGATTGAACCTGAGCCTCTTGCCCTGCAGGCAGATCCTTGACTACTGAACCACCTGGGAGGCCCTGTCTGGCAGTTAACAGGTGCTCAGTAAATCTTGCTAAATGAAGGTAGTTAGAGGTGGGACTGAAAGTGTGTGCAGCCTGTTCATTCATGCAACTGTGGGAGGCCTAGGGATACAAGGTGAACCACACTGCTGCCCTCGGAAAGCTTCCATTCATGTGAGAGGAGACCACTGAACAAGTAAGTAAAATGGCTGTTAAACTAGGCAGAGAAGTGAGGGAGCTGGCAGAGGGTCAGGGACAGCCTTTCTGCAGAGGCAACCTGAAGGAGGCTGGGGTCAGCCAGGCGCACCAGGGCGCCACGCCAGGTGGTTAAGGATCCCATATGAGTAGGTAGGAGATGGGGGTAGCCTGCAGGCAGGGAAGGGGCTGGTACCCCTAAGCCAATAAGCCTTTCCATCGCTCGACACTCCCCATTCCAGGGCACGACCAGGCCTCAGACTTGGAACAGGGACTTCAGAGCACCAGTCTCCTGGGCCTAAGGGACTTCTAGCCTTTGGAACCGAACACAGGCTTAGAAGCCAGCATTCCCTGAGCATCTGCAGAAGGGGCAGGCCCCGGGGTGACAGCAAAAGCTGGCGGCACTGCCTAGCGGGGCCACTGAGCTTGGTACCACTCAGGCTGCAGAAGCACAAGCTGGGACAAACTCCACTTTTCCTGAGAGGCTGTCTGGTTTCTGGTCTCCAGAGGACCCTGCCCACTCCCCGCTTCAGCCAGGTTCCTGGGGAGCCACTCACATCTTGCTGGGCATACTCCTCTGCCCCAGCGGCCTTCCCGTAGTCACAGAACTTGGTTGTGCAGTGCAGCACACCCGGCGGTCTCTTCCCGAAGTAGGTGAGCAGTTCAATCTTCTCCCTGGGCTCATCGCCAGAGACAACTGCGGGGCGGGGAGAGAGGGAGGGTGGTCAGGGCGGGAGAGTAGAGGCATCGCCGCAGCTATCACCAAGAGCTTGAGCTTAAATTTGCAATCCACTGTAATTGAGCAATCTACCATCCATGTTGGGCAAATTAATAGCAATTCTAGTGCTATGAAAAGGTGTTTTAAGTTCCCTGCTTTTTGTTCTGCAAATTTTTACATCTCTTACCCAGACTTGAAAACTAAGGCACTTGTAACCCAGGGGAAGGCAGCATAAGCCAAGGGAACCTGAGCTTCAACGAGCTACACATCTGAAAAAACAGGGAAGCAGGTCATGAAAAAGGGGCTAAAAAGAAAAAAGAGGGGGGCAACTGCATGGTAATAATGGAAGGAGCCAAAAAGAGCATAACATCCAGCCCACTTCCAAGCTGTTGGACCTGGGGCAAGTGAGTAACTCTCATCTGTCAATCAGATAGGATAGGAGGTGACCACCCAGATAACTATCAGTCATGACCTATTTCACTTGGGGTCCCTGGAACAAGAAACAGCTGGTCACTGGAACAACAGGTAGCCTGCAGCCTCCTTTGGTGGATGAGAGGCTATAATGGGTCTTAGAAAGTAATGGGTATCGGGAAGGGTCTTAGAAGATAATGGGATAACCTTAAGGCTAGTTTCTCAGTCACTAGGCTTTTCCTGTTAACTCCCAGGGTTGAGTCCCTCTGAGGATGTAGCTCACCCTCCACAGGGCAGGGAGACCTCCACTCGGAGGGCAGGGAGACCTCCACTCGGAGGGCAGGACTTGCTTGTGGCCCATTACAGTTCTCCTCCGCTGTCCTATGCAGAGGGACACCAGGTTGTTTTGGTTTTTTGGCCATGCCGTGGGGCATGTGGGATCTTAATTCTGAGACCAGGGATTGAACCCATGCCCCCTGCAATGGAAACGTGGGATCTTAACTGTTGGATCTCCAGGAAGTTGAGGGTCCCAGTTTTTAATGATAAATGCAGCTTCAAGGGGCAGTCACTCTACAGGGCAGAACCAGTGCTAACCAGGAACCCTGCCTCGGGCACGTCTCTGTGACGCTACTCACAGGCACAGGGCTCATACCAGGTGGTGCAAGCATCCTGGTTTCCTGCTTTCCCAGCATTCAAATCTTAGGAGCTGAGAAAAGTCCTCGGAGAACATATACAGGCACAACTCACCTCTGACAACCCAAAGAAACACAGGTGGGGATATTTCAAGTCTAAAATTGAGGGGTGGGGGGGGGACTAGGAATGCATTAAAGGAAGAAGAGATGATTAGTGGGAGTGGGTGACATGTCCCCAACAGGTCCCTGGAGAAGAGCCACTGGGGGGCCTTCCCTATCCCAAATCTCCCCTCTCCGTGGAGCAAACAGCAGGAGGGCACGCTGGTCCGACCCAGTAAGGGAAGACTCCTCTAGAGGCGATAGAGTCTAGGGTTCTCACAACAGCTTTGGGCAAACCCCACATCCGTTCTGTGCATTTTCCATCTGCAAAAACGAGGTTGGGCTCTAGGCATGAGACTGTTCTCTGGAGCTGTGCAATGCCACAGGAGGTGCGCTGGCTAGCTCAGGGCCTGGGAACCATCCCCACTGGCGTTAACAGTAGTCCTAGTAGTAAGCTCTCTGCAGTTTAGGACTCCATGGCATATTGTATTTTAGAAGATGGCTCTGCGACTAAAAATGAGTTTGAAAACATTGGACCAGACTCTCCCTCCAGGGTTCTATGAAATGTTGATGTATTTCCTATTATGAAAGTATGCAATTTGCTCTCCCCACCTCTAAGACAGGGTCGGTGGTCTAGCTCCAGGCTGGGAGAGGGTAGCTGGGGAGACAGTGAGAGGGCGAGTCCCTGGCGAAAACCTCTCCCAGGTCCCACTGACTGTGCACCGCCCCAGGAGACCTCTGCCAGCACCAGGTGAGCCCCCTGCATCCCCCAAGAGCTTGGAGAACAATGGTCCCGGGCACGCAGCACCCTATGCCCAGCAAACGAGGGGGCTCACAAATAAGGCTGAGTGCCCCCACCCATACACCCCGCCACCTACAGTGTCGCAGCTCCTTCTTGAAGGCCTTGTGGTTGCCCAGCTCCTCCAGGAAGGTCTGGCCAGTTTTGCGGAGGGCCTCGGAACTCTTCTTGGTCAGGAACCAGCCGAAGTAGAGGGGCAGGAAGTCCTTCTCCAGCCCAGGCTTCAGCTTCTTCAGATCGTCTGCTGACAGCTGCCACTGGTTCTTCTCCTTGAGCTGGGCACAGTCCAGTCGCCAGGCCGTCTTGGGCTCCACCAGCACCACCTGGTACTGGTACTGGTCAGCCAGCTCAAAGAGCTGCTCCAGCCGCTCCCGCTCGTGGTTGGTATCATCCAGCACCAGGATCCGGACGTCCCGGCGACAGTAGGCAGCCAGGTCCTCGTCCAGCCGCTTGTACTCCTCGGAGAAGGCCCCCCGGGCACCGGGGGTGATCTTGTAGCTGTCGGCAGACACTATCTTGGTGCCATCCCGGTACCTGTCCACAATGGACCGGGCCAACGTGGACTTGCCGCTCCCAGGCAGGCCTCGCAGGATGAAGAGCGTCTTGCAATCCTGCAGCGTGGCCACCGTCTCCTCATCCTGCAGGAAGGGAAACTGCAGCTCCGGCTTGTCCTTGGCCCCTGAGGATGACATTTTGCGGAAGAAGACCTTGGGCAGGAACGTCTGGCTCTTTCGGGAGAAGCCTCTACTCTGTGAGGAGGGGAAGACAGGCATCAGCCAGGTCATGCAGGGCCGCCCCGCCAGCCTCACCTCTTCCTCTCAGGCCTGGCCTTATCCAGGAATCCCCCCACTCCAGGCACCCCGGCCCTTGATTGACAGGCACCCCCCGGGGTCGTGGGCACCTTCCCAAGCCGTGCGGTGCTAGATGGTCTCTCCTAGGGCCTTGGGACCTGAGGGCTTCTGGCTGTACAGTATGAAGAGAGGGCTGTCTGGGCAGTCCCGAACTCTTCCCTCTAGAGAGAACCGTAGCCTCAAGGATCACCCACTGCGGCCACCTTGAAAGGAAAACTGCTGGGAAGTGCCTGCAGGAGAGAGCCTGAAGCCTGCGTTTCTAGAAGCGAAGCCTAACTTTACATTCCTGGCCTCTATTAAGGATGACTTCTTTGGAGGTGGGGGGCTCTATGTCTGGGTAAAACCACAGCTGCCCTGGCCCCTGAGCGCACCGAGGTGGGTGGGAGTGGAGAAGGGTCACCCGAAGACCGCCTCCCTTCCCCCAACAATGCCAGCAACAGATAATACTCTCTTGTCTGGGATGGGGGGACAATGGTCCCACAGAAGGGCTGGTGGGGGGCTGGGCCGGAGAGCGCCGGACAAAGGGCTGTATTCAGCACAGCCTGCCACCTCCTCCTCGGCCCTGGCCCCCCCCCCAAAGTCGCGGTCTTTGTGCCTGCCCCAGGACTGGGGGGTACAGGGCACCTGCGTCGGAGTCTAGCTCTGCGCACCCCCTGCTGTGTGTCAGGAGCACCTCTCAGAGCCACTGTTTTCCTGCCTGTGCAAAGCCACAGGCAGCAACAGTTTTTACTGTAAAGCGCCTTTTCCTCTAAGCCGCGAGGCCCCGCCTCCCGCCAGCACCCGGACAGCTCAGCAGGCGCACATTATCTCAGCGCGGCCCAGGGCAGGGAGGCGGTGCCGAATGCCCGCCCAGCGCGGGGCCCAGTGCCTGCTACCCGACCACCCACCACCCGGATGTGCGCCGGGGGAATTGCTTCTGCGGCTCGATTCCCTAATTCCCTTCTTTCTCCAGCGTCACCCCCACTCCCCATTCTCCCCGCGTGGTCCCTACCTCAGCCAAGAAAGTCCCGACTCAACTACGGAACCTCGAGTCCTCATTTGCATGCCACTTCCTCCCCCCCACCCCCACAAGTCCCCCAATACTCTCGTTTTCCATTAGGGTCCCGGCCCAGCCCTCCCGCTCACCATGATGAGCAGGGGTCGCCGCCGTCGCCGCCTTCGCAGCACTAGCTCTCCGGGGCCGCCCGCCTGCGCGGAGGGACACGGAGTCTAGCGGTGGCGCGAGCCCACGCGCGGCCGCCTTACATAGCCCGGGGCGGAGCGCGCGCGGGCGGGCCGGGGGCGGGCCGGGCCGGCCCCCTCTGCGCAGGCTCTGCGAATCGAAACTCCACGCTCACTTGGCCCTGGGAGGAAGTGGCGGAGCGCTGCGCCCCGCCCCCTGCGGGCGAGCCCGCCCTGGGGCAGCACCTGTTTGGAGGCGCCTGTGCGGGGGCGGCGTATGGGGGCTGGGAGCGGGGAGCTTGGCCTCTTTCTTGCACCCGGTAATGAGGAACTCGGCAAAGAGGACAGCAGGCACCCCCCCTCCCTGGCCCAGAGTAGATTAGATTTGAGGGCAGGATTGTGCGAGTGCGAAGGCGAATCCTGTCTTTCTTTAAAATTTTGGTATTTTACTCATCATCAGGCTGTTTATTTATTTATTATTTATTTATTTGGGGGGGGTATTAGAAGTTATTTTATTTTTTTTTTCCTTTTTTTCTTTATTAGTTGGAGGCTAATCACTTTACAATATTGTAGTGGTTTTTGTCATACATTGACATGAATCAGCCCAGGCTGTTTATTTAAAAAAATATTCACAACCTGAAAGTTGAGAGTTATGTTTTATTCCGCGGGAATTTTTAGCATTTCAAGCCAGGGAGATAGTTTCTCAAGTAACCCTGAGAAAACTGCTCTGAGGAGGCGAGGGTAGGAGCTGCATTATATAGAAGTTTTCCAACAAAGGGCAGGTAGTCTGAAGGTGGGAAAGATTATTGTTGAAGAAAACCAGATATCTCAAGTTAAGGAATTTAGAGCTTTTCTATGTATGGGAAGATGCAGGAGAGTGGGCTCACTGAAATCATTCCTTTAATATGCACCTCAGCTATCTGGAGCCTGTGTCCTGTATTTTTCACATCCTGAACTTCCTTTCCTCAGGGCTCAACCGTAGGGAATGGTTTGATTTTGGCTAGATTGCAGGTATTCTCCTTTATGTGCTCCCTCAGGGCTCACCAGCTCACCTTCCATGGTGGCTGCAATCACTGATGACTGTGACATCCTTGTTTACCGATGTGGCAGGAAATATTCAATTTCTCAGAGTTTTGCAATTTTTTTTTTTTTTGCAATATTGCATTAAAATACTGTTTCTCTTGCTTACTGAGTTTTTTTGATCCTATGTTCCTTAAAAGTTGCAGCTGAAATGCCTCACTTGCCTCTCCCTAGTCTGGCAGGCCCAAAGTCAGCCTCTGCCCCAACCTAACTATGGAGCTGGAACTAGGATGGCAGTGGCCAAGGGGCTAGATAGATAAAGTAGTGAAATTCTTAACTCCTCCGCAGCTGCCCCTCTGTGAAACCACTGGAAGCTCGGGTGGGTTTTCAAGAGCTTCCTGTGTACCAGGGACTGCTAAGCACCAAGCCCTGAGACAGGTACTTGTTATACAGAGGATGAAGCAAGTTTGGGGGGCTTGATTTACTGGACTGTATGCAGGTCCCCAGGGTGGCACAGGTGGGTCCTGAGGCAACTCCTACTCCCAGCTGCTCCCTGTTCTCTGCCAGACATCTTCCTTCTCCCCCTGAGCTCCAAGAGCCCCACCAGTGCCAGCAGGCACTTCATTCTGTTTTCAAGGCTTCGGGGTTTACAAGGAGGTCTCCCTCGCTGTGTGATGGCTGAGGTTGTCCCATCCTTGTTTCTTCTAGAAAGACCCCAGAGTACCCTGCACACAGTGGTACTCAGCAAGATGAACCAACAGGCAGCAGCTGGGCCGCCAGCTCTGTTTCCACGCCTTTCTCTTTCCTCCCCACTTCAGGCTTTTTGAGTTCCTTGGAGTTCACCTGTTTCTTCCTCCCCTGAAACCCTTTCTTCTTAGCATCTTTCTCACTTCTTCCATAAGGTCCTCGCACAGGATCTGGGGGAGAGGACCACATTTCACACTTTGGTGACACTGTGGGTCAGGCCTTGTTTGGAGAGGGGGTCTCCGTGTTTCTCCCCTAGTCAGAATGTCAGAGTTCTGCTCAGCAAGTGGGAGCCCCATGCCCACACATTCATTCTCTAAGGCTCTTCTGAGAATGGGTGGTGATAAGGAGCAAAATGACAGACTCGGGGTTTGTAAGAGTGAAAGATACACATTTAAAGGGAAAACGGTAATAGAGACAGGGTGACCTGTTGGACCCAGTCCACATTAGAGAGAAAGCTCAGCTTGAATGTCCAGTTTAGTAAGACCTCCATGGTCCCTGCGAACACCAGCCTGCTGATCCTAATGCCTACTCAATGGGTTCATCTTCCTTTTCATCTTTTTCTATTTTTTCGGAATTTTCTGTTATTTCCATTTCTTTTATTTCTCCTGATTCCGTTTTCCCCAGTGCTTCCGACTCTCCTCCGTCAGTTTTTGAAAGTCTCTTCTCTAGTCCTTCCGATTCCCTTGGGCTTGATTCATCTGAAAGGTTTTGATCCAGTTCTGAAGGCCTCCTGTAAATTTCCCTGGTTTCCTCTCTGTTCTCTTCTGTCCTGCCTGCTTCTCCAAACTGTCCTTTGGCAGTGTCTCCTGGACGTCTCACCTTTGTGCCCAATTCTTTTCTCCATGAGGCTTTTCCTGGGTCTTCTCTCTGCCTCTCTTCTGGTCGCCTAGCTGTGACCCCCAGAGTTTCCTTAGACAAGACACCTTGGGGCTGTTTCTCTGTTTGCTCCCGCTCCCACTGCTTCATCACCTTCTCAGGTTCATCTTTTGTTTTCCTCGCTTCCTTCTCCTTTGCCATCCGTGTTTGACCATCCAACATAGTGGCATTTTCTGAAAAACAGGAGAAAGGAGAGAAGAGAGGTGAAAGTTTGTGCTGAGAGACCTGAGACTGAGACAGGGGAAATCACACACGATGTCACACTGAATATAATTGGCAAAGCCAAGATTTGAACCCAGGACAGTCCGCCCCTGGCCCACGTTTTCTTTTTCCCTACAAGAACTAGCTCAGGTGCTGGGAAAAGACAGAGGCTTCTCCTTTGGCTTCCTCATTCTGCATTTCTCTTTGTCCCTGGGGAGCACACTCATCATTTGTTGGGAGGTTCCCCTGTTAAAAAAAAAAGGGAACAAATTGTTCTGGAAGTTCAGATGCAGGGCAATTTTAAAACCCAAGTGATCTTTGCTCCTTGTTTTTACCAGCTATCAGAGAAAAGTCACCAATCTCCTCTTGAGTCTCCTCCACACTCTTCCTGGGAGTCCTGGTTTCTAAGAGTCAACAGGGACTTTGGGTTCAGAGCCAGCAAAGGCTGCTGTTGGCTGTGAAGACACGTGCAATGCTGCCACCTGCTGTCCAGGAAGGGAAGTGCCCAGCAGCTGCCTGTGCCTTTGGGGGCCTTCCTCAAGTTTTCAGGATGCCTTTCCCAGCGTGCTGTCAGCCAAGAAAGGAGAATGCTTGGAGCACCTGCTGCGTCCCCTGACATTATTGCTTCTGTGGCTTCTGAGAGTGGCTCCAACAGTGTGTGGAGGCAGAAGCAGATCTCTGAGGGGATCCAGCCGCCATGTGCAGGCACTGGGTAATAAAAGGCCATCATCTGACTGCCCAGGTGCCCAGAAACTCCACACCCAGATTCCCGCTGCTGTGCCGGGATCCGAGAGGGCTTCAGCCTTGGTGCCCGGAAGGAGCTCTGTCCTCCCAGAAGCGCTGAAGGAGCCCCAGCCCTAGCTCCCCTTTACTTCAATGTGGCTGGAGGGAGGGCCCCACGGGATGGGGTGGGGGTGACAGAAATAGTATATGTAGAACCATGGTAAAACCATGGGTTCCAGAGCCAGGCTGTCCAAGACTAGAAACCACTGTGGGACTTTAACCCCTTGGCCCCGCGTCCTCATCCGTAAGATCAAGCATGTCATACTTATTTTGGCTTCCCAGGTGGCACAGCGTTAAAGAATCCACCTGCCAATGCATGGGATGTGGGTTTGATCTCTAGATCGGGAAGATTCCCTGGAGAAGGAAATGGTAACCTACTCCAGTATTCTTGCCTGGAAAATCCCATGGACAGAGGAGCCTAGCGGGCTATAGTCCCTGCGGTCACAAAGAGTCAGACACGACTGAGTGACTAAACAACACTTATTTCATAGTGCTCCAGGAGAGATCCCGTGAGTCCATATGTATAAAGCTTAAAAGAGCGCCTGGGCAGGCAGGAAGCACTGAGTGGAGATCAGCTTCTACGATCACCCCCACCACTCTGAGGCCCGGCCCCCATCCCTGTGGACTCCTTGGGGCCTGGAGTCCCAGCCACTTCCTCTTCCCTCACTCCTTTCATGGGGGCCTTTCAGATAGCTAGTGCCTGGGGGGTGGTGGGGGGGCGGGGATCAAAGGCCTCTTCACTCCCTGGAACTCTTGGGAGAAAGAACGTGGTAAGGCTAGACCGGCACGATCCCGTCACCTCTGCACCGCAGCCAGCCCTCAGGCCCCCCCGTCCTGACCCTGCCCTGCTCACTGCTGACCCTGAAGAGCAGCTGCCCACAGTGGGGGTGAGTGTGGCTCCCACGCAGACTGCTGAGTGACCCGGGCTGATGATTCAGGCTCCAGTGTCCTCCGCCTCCCGGCAGTGAGGGTCTAGTGAGATCATTCTGGCTGAGGTTAACCCAGTGTGGCCAGTGGTAAGAGCACCCACAGTGTAAGCTGCTTTTGTTCTGCTTCCGTGTTTGCTCCTGTTTCCTGCCTGAAATGCCCTCGGCCTTCCACCTTGCACTGGGAAAACACCTGGGCATCTTCTGGAGCCTGAAGCGGAAGATTCTTCCTCTTGGAAGTGTTTCCTACCACGCCAGAGAACTGGGAGCTCCCTGCCCAGGCTCTCACGGCAGGGCGTGGCCCCCTGCTCAGGAGACTCAGGTGTCCGGCTTTCCCACTGGGCTGTGGGCTCCTCCAGGGCAGGGGCCGAGCTTCTGTCACCCCCAGAATCTCACACTTCCCTGGCAGGTGACAAGCGCTTGACAAATATTTGATGAATTGAAGAAATATGGGGGTACTGGACTTCCCTGGTGATCCAGTGGTTAAGAATTCACCTGCCAATGCAGGGGACAGAGGTTCAATCCCTGGTCTGGGAAGATCCCACATGCCTTGGAGCAACTAAGCCCATGAACCATAACTACTGAGGCCATGTGCTGCAATTACGGAAGCCCGTGCACCTCGAGCCTATGCTCCAGAACAAGAGAAGCCATCGCAACCAGAGTAGTCCCCAGTCAACTAGTGAAAGCCTGTGTGCAGCAGCGAAGGCCCACCACAGCCAGAAAGTAAAATAAACAGCAAAAGAAATGAATACATCTTTTTAAAAAATACAGGAGTACTGAAGAAATAGGGCGGACAGCATGGGATCTGACCCCAGACTGAGGGGTCCCCCTCCTGCCTCGGGAACGGCTGCTGGCGGCACTGAAATCAGAATGCCCAGTGGGCAGCGCCAAGCCCAACTGAAGGAGCAGCAGGAGGCGTGGCGAGGACTGCTGGAAGGAGAGCACAGGCAGGTTTCTGAAGTTGCTATCTTCCAGCTCCAAAACTCACCTTTCTCCTTCTTTTCTTTGAGTATATCCCTGTAGTTGGTTTTCTTCAGCTCTTCAATGATGCCCTTGTTGGCATCATCCAAGGCCTATGGACGAGAGGATTATCAGTGAACTCTCTTAACACTGTGGGACCTGTCCTTTCCCCACCCAAGCCCCAACCCTGCCCCCACTCCCTTTCCTCCTGGCTCCTCTGACTACTGCCTGAGGTTCATGGATCCTATGGACTTGGAACTCTCCACGCTACGTGGTATGAGAGGTACACTGCTGGGGGTGACTCAAACTCACCTCCTTCAGACTCAGGCATGTTTTGAGGGATTGCGTCTGTCTACTGATTCCTAAAGCTTCAGCCAAATTAGAGACAAGACCCTCAGCCTGCAGCCGGGCAGCAAGCCATGGAGGGGACTCAGCAGCACACTGAGGGTGGGGGTGGGGCTGGGAGCTGGCCTGCCTTCAGAGGGGCTTCCAGAGCCTCTGCAGGACAGCCAGGGACTGGGAACTCAACTCTGCTTTCTTGCAGCCCTCCCTGTGACTTGGCCTGGGTGACGCACCACTAGACTCTCAAGGAATGTCTACAGGCCCTGGATCGCTGGGCCTGGATGCTCTTGGGCAGTGTGGTCTGCCCCTAAGTATATATACTTTCCTGCCTGGAGATGCCAATCAGGGGGGTGAGAGGTCAGGGACTAGGTCTCATGAGGAGCCATTTAGGGCTGTGTGTGTATTTGGCTTGATGGGCACTTCTGTTTTCCTACTTTCAAAACCCTGCCCAGCCTCCAAGGCGACCTCGAACCCTCCCTCTCCGTGAGGGGAAAGGCCCAGCTCTGCCTGCCTGCTGGAGCTCTCAGTCTGAGTCCCCTAGTCCTTGCAGCACCAGTCAGGAACGAGGGACTGTGTTTTCAGCTTCCCAAGGGCTGGGACCACGTCGTCACTTTTGCTGCAGGGCTGGAAAGACCCTAGATCTGCACCGTGTGATACCCAGAGGCCTCACGTGGCAACTGATCACTTGAAATGTGGCTGGTGTGACTGAGGAACTGAACTGCAACTTTTGTTTACTTCTAACTCCATTTACTCTAAATGCTGCAGGTGGCTAGTGGCCGCCTGGACTGGTGAGTGAGGCCATCACACTGCTTTCCTATTGTCTTCTGTCCTAAAGTCAGTTTAGGGGGTCTCAGCCAGCATTAAAGACAAGGAATGTAAAGAAAAAATAGAGTAAGAAGTATCAGCACACATAATAAAGGTAAATATGTTTTGTAAAACTTGCTATTTTTCATCTGTTTTTTCAAATAAAACTAAGTGTATTGAGGGGAGTTCCCTGACAGTCCAGTAGTTGGGATGCTGACTTTTACTGCAGCAGGTGTGGGCTCGATCCCTGGTTGGAGAACTAAGATCCCTTAAGTTGCTGTGCAGTGTGGCCAAAAAAACAAAGTTAACAGTATGTGTATTGGTTGGGGTGCTATATAAACTGATGGCAACAACAAACATTGCAAAGCTACTGCCCTACCTAGAAGGTGCTCTGAGGTTGAGGGGAAATAAACAGTGGGGCTGAGGGTCCCGGGCCTGCCCCATCCCACCCCCAGAGAGAGAGGCTCACATTGATGATGGCCTGCTGCGCCTCGTTGTTATGGACCAGCTTTGCTCTCTCCAGGGCCTTCTCAAAGTTGTTCACGGCTGATTCGAAGTCCCTCAGCCTCACTGAAGGGAACAAGGGAGGCAGGAGGATGGAGACAGCAGGATGGTGATGCTGTGTGCTGCCCTGCGGGTACCAGGGGCCCTAGGAGCAGCAACACCAGGCAGCCCAGCACCACCCTTTCCAGACATTTCCTGGGCCGCCTCATCACCAGGGAGCAGAACCTGGGCACCTGAGCCTTGGATTTCAGGTGCCAAGAGTCAGTGAGGGAAGCGGTCAGTGCCCACATCATGCGTCTCCAGGGGGACAACTCCATCCTGCCCCATTGTTGCCCTAATGGTCCAGGAGCAGGTGACGAGAATGAAGACAGAACATGAAATCTGGTGCAATGGGTCAGGGGACCTGCAGCCTCTATTGGACTGAGGTGCAGAGTCCACACTGAGTCCAGCTTTTATTCCTAACTGCAGACCACAAGACTTCCTCAGATCTTATCTTTCTCAAGACATATGCCATATCAATCACATACTTCTAAATATCATGGACTAACATAGTCCAGATCTCCTTGTGTTTACCCCAGTCCATTCCCCTTTGGGCTGGTCTCAGGAACAATTAGCAAGTGCCTAGGCAGCGTTCATGCCTGACGCTGACCAAGTTCCAAGGTCTGTGCTTTTATGATCCCAGTCATAATCCCTTCTGGGTCTGGTCCTGGGGTTTGTAATAAGACTATAATTCTAAGAAAGACATGAAAAATAATCATCAATGTAGTTTCTTAATATGCTGTTTTTCCAAGTGCTATTTCTGTGAAATTTCTCAAGGCATGAAATTACATTATTAGGAATTCCCACTACACCCCATCTTTAAATGGTTACAGGAGAAGACATCTATTTTTTTTTTTCTTTTTTAATGTTTACTCAGACTTGTAAACAACACTGTGGCTACCAAACACAGTCTGGCAGGACTGGATGTGACTCCTCATGGGCCAGTGGCTGGGACATCAGTGCCCACATTGGAACAATCTTAACCCAGGGAGGAAGCAGACCCCTACCCACCTCAGGGCACTCACTGGGCCAGTTAGCACTGGGCCAGGGATGAGGGCTATGAACTGACTGCCCTTGGAAAAAGCTTAATTTCAGGAAGGAAGGAGAAAAGTGCTCCCCTGCCGGGGCTGGGAACCCCACACTTCACTTTCTTTACACACCACTGCTTCTGCTTTTTTAAAAAGTTAATTAATTTGGCTGTGCTGGGTTTCAGTTGTGGTAGGCAGGATCTTTAGTTGTGGCATGCAGGATCTAGTTCGCCAACCAGGGATCAAACCCGAGCCCCCTGCGTTGGGAGCGTGGAGTCCTAGCCACTGGACCGCCAGGGAAGTCCCTCCACTGCTTCCTCCTATAACTAGTACCGCAAGATCTACCCCTCTCCCACAAACTGCTTCAGGATTCCTGGGGAAAGAAGGGCCTTGTATCCATAAGTCAAATTGCAAAAGGCAATTACATTTGAAGAGCGATTTTAACATAGTTCTGAAAGTCTGTGGCGTCAACATACATTTCTTTTTTCAAATACACATTTGAAAAGAAGAAAACTTGTAGTAATGCCTCAGAGGCCACCATGAATAAATGTCTATGTCATTCTGACATGGTAGGTCAGAATAGGAGTCATAACACACAAGTGAGTGAAGCATTAAAGACCATTCTATTTGTTTTCAGCTGAATCTATAATCTGAAATTATCTCCATTCTGGGGGCCCTTTCCCCCTTCTTTTCTTCACTCTGTGCATCCACAAATCCACACATGTATATCCATATTTTTGTTGGCTTTTCCAGGGACTAATTGTTTCTTACCACTGTTGGAAACACTTATGGGAAGCTGATGGGTAGGAAGAAATGAGTATTTCTGGAGAGCCTGCTATATGCTGGTTCCTATTCTAAGTGCTTACACGCATAGCCATTACCTCATGTCTTCACACTATGAAGACGATACATACATACTATACGTGACCCCATGAACTGTAGCCCTCGCAGGCTCCTCTGTCCATGGGATTCTCCGGGCGACAACACTGGAGTGGGTTGCCAGCCATTTCCTTCTCCAGCATACACACTATAATTATCCCCATTTGCAGAGCCCAAGATCTGCCCACTTGGCCAGGCTGCCTCTATAACCCAGGGGCTCCTTTGCTGCTGCGTTGGACTGGACTTTTCCACCGTATAGCATGGAAACTGAGGCCGGTAGTGAGTGGCCTGCTTCTCCAGAGGCCCTCAGAGCCTAACAAGACCTCACCAGGGACAGGAATTCCCTGGTGGTCCAGTGATTAGGACTTCACGCTTTCACTGCCAGGGCCCAGGTTCAATATCTGGTCAGGAACTAGGCTCCTACAACAAGCCCTGTTGCAGTGCATTCAAAAAACAAACAAAAAACAATCATCACAGAAACAGGAAAGAGTTCTAGGAAAAGGCACAGTAATCACATCTTCCCCAGTTTAAAGCTTTCAAGTGGTTTTTTTCTCTATGTTTTTAGGAAAGAATCCACGATGTGTAAGGAGGCCTGAGAGGCCCTGTGGATCTGGCCCTTCACCAGCCTCCCACCTCCAGACTTTCCTGGCCCCCAGAATCTCGACACTAGTCTCCATCAGTTTCTTAAATCAGCCAAACTCTTGCCCACCTCCCTAACTAAATGCGGTTCCTTTGGCTGAAAAGTTCTGCCTTCAGAACTTGGAACGACTGGTGCCTTTGCATTCTTAATGCTTCTGCTTTAAAGTTACTCTTCAGGGACTTCCCTGGTGATCCAGCAGTTAAGAATCCGCCTTGCAATGCATGGGACAAGGGTTCGACTCCTGGCCATCGAACTAAGATCCCACATGTCTCAGAACAACTAAGCCCACAAGCTGCAACTACCAAGCCCACACACCACAAAGGAGTGCCCAGCTGTCAAAGAACCTCATGACACAGTGACGATCCCATGTGCTGCAACTAAAACCCAGTGTGGCCGAATAAATAAATATTAAAAAATAGTTACTCTCCGATAGGAGGACAGGAACAGTTATCAATTTTCTTCCTACTGTATGCCCAGCTTTGGTGCCTAGAAGGTGCCAGGAAAGCATTAATGATGTGAGTAAGTGAATGACTGATGAGACCCGTGATCAGAGTGCCTGTCATGCTTCCCGCCTTCGCTGGGGTCAGCTGTGTGCCCAGGGCAGGGCAGGTTCGAAACTGTGAACAGGAGACCCAGCTCCAAGGCTTTCTTATTACTGTGACCTAGAGCTATTTACCCTTTTAAACTTGTATTGTGAAATATTTCAAATATACAGAAAAGTCAAAGGAATAGTATCATGAATCCCCATTACTCATCACCTAAATTCAAATATCATATGATGTCACTTCTATGTGGAATCTAAAAAAATGATACACATGAATTTATTTACAAAACAAACACTCAGAAAACAAACTTATCAAAGGGGAAAAGGTGGGGAGGGATAAATTAGGAGGCTGGGATTAACATATATATTAATACACTACTATATATAAAATAGATAATCAACAGGGATCTATGCACAGCCCAGGAAATTCTACTCAATACTCTATAATAACCTACAAGGGAAAAAAATCTTAAAAAGAATAGATATATGTATATGCATAACTGAATCACTTTGCTGCTCACCTAAAACTCACACAACATTGTAAATCAACTATATTCCAATATAAAAGTTTTTAAAAATTACCAAAATATTGCCAATCCTGTTCCATCTGTTCCTCCTCACCCCCATCCCTTGCTGTTTTACTAACAAGCCCATTAACTTTATTGAGATGTGATTCATTCAGTATAAAATGAGCCCCTTTGTAAGTATACAGTTCAATGATTTCTAGAAAATTTATAGACTTGTGCAATGAACACCACAACTCAGCTTCAGAACTTTTCCAGCCCCCTAAAAAAGCTCCCTCTTGAGACCTGGGGCAATCTGCGGCAGCACTCAGAGTCTCCATTTCCCAGCCTATGAAAGGAGGACAATACCTCCAGCACTGGCTTGCAGAGTGATTAAAGCGAGAACGCAGAGAATGCACGTATAAAGGCTACTGAGCCAAGACCGGTGGAGCTGTGTTGATGAGGACAAGACACTGCTGGTCTGCATGCAGCTCAGCTGAGTTCCTCGAGGGCAGAGCAGTTCTCAGGATCTCCCAAGCCCTAACTGAACGTAGCTTAAAGTAGGCACTACACACTGGTCAAAACGCGGGGCTTTACCCCCACTCTCAGAATCAGAATTTGTCTGATCCATCGGGATGGAGAGTTCAGCCCCGGCGTGACAGCAGGGCCTGAGGGCTGGGAAGGGCACCAGTACCTTGGGCCTGCGCCACCAGAACGCTGGCATTCAGCTGCCATTCCATGTCCCCTTCTTCCTCGGCGCACTGCTGGGACTTCTCACCGTAGCTCTGGGCCTCCCAGGCCTGGCCTAGCTCCAGGTAGCAGCGGCCAATCTCATGGAACAGCCAGGTCTTCTCCAGGGTGGTTTTGGCCAGAGGGATCTTCTCCTCCCACCTGGGGACACCAATAACCGGGGTCAGCTTCCTCCACTCAGGCCCTGCACTCGGACTTAGGAGACTGGGCTTCCTACTGGTGGCCAAAGAAAAACTGTCCTCCAACTACCAGTTCTTTTAGGTGCAGGAGTGGAGCTAACAAGCACTAACATATTTTTTAAACTACCAGGGTTATTTTGGTGCATCTATAGAATTGGCTTTGATACCACAGCTGAAAATAATGTTTGTAAAATAGCATTTGAAATAACTCCATAACCTTTGAAAGTCAATGTGAAGTTGTTCAGTCATGTCTGACTCTTTGCAAACCCATGGACTGTAACCTAGCAGGCTCCTCCATCCATGGAATTTTCCAGGCAAGAGTACTGGAGTGGGTTGCCATTTCCTTCTCCAGGGAATCTTTCTGATCCAGGGATTGAACCCAGGTCTTCCTCATTGCAAGCAGACACTTTACCATATGAACCACCAGGGAAGCCCACACATAACCTTTAAGAATATGATTAAGCACATTTAAGAGAAAATCAACACAGTAAAAAAGATTGGGATGAAAAAAACAAAATATCAATAAAAGTCAGAGGAGGATCAGAATGAGCACTTGTCTTTGAGTGGTGGGACTGAAGACTTCCTCATCTAATTTTCTATATTTTCCAAATGAATATTTTAAGGTTAAGCACACCTGACTCTTTGTGACCCCATGGACTGTATACGGGAGTGGATAGCCTTTCCCTCCTCGATGGGATCTTTCCAATCCAGGGATCAAACCCAGGTCTCCCGCATTGCAGGTGGATTTTTTACCAGCTCAGCCACCAGGGAAGCCCCACATTAAGCACAAATTTACTATAAAACATGTTATTATGAAAAGACATGAATGGGTGGGTGAATGCTCACATGCCTCTGTCTTTTGGCACACAGGCCCCAGGGGCCCCTGGGGAAACGAAATGACCTGGAGCGCCAGGCTCTGGTCAACAAGTCTGTTCTAGTCTAGCAACAAAGGTCTGAAGGACAATTTCTCTCTGCAGTCAAGCCCGCCCCTGAGTCTCCCAGGGGCTGAATCACCCCACTGGAACAGGTCACCAGCTCCAGGGTTGGACATCAAAAGTCCATCAGTTAAGGTCTCTAGGGAGCTCAGGCTCCATTCCCAGTGACCCCATGTGACCAGAGAATCACAGAATAACCTCCAAAGAACTCCCAGAAGTCAATGGTCCACCCAGTCATGAACTTGGCCAGAGGTGAGGGCTGCCTGGAGAACTTGTTAAAACCAGATTCCTGAGCTCCAACCCAGACCTGTAGAATGAGAACGTCCAGAGGAGAGGCTTGATAATGCACACACCTAAAAACAAGTGTCCCGATGCTTGTCAACGGGAAATTGGGAGAAAATGCTGATTTTATTCTACTAATTAATATAGCTGATGAGCCCCAGAGTTTACAAAGTGGCTTTCTTCTGGTCACCTAGCACAGCCAGGAGCCAAATTCGGGTCTTCCGATGCCTGTTTGCCTGACATCCTACCCCAGGCTGGGAGTCCAGGGGGAGGTTGGGATGTCCTAGCCCTCAAGTAAGGAGGGGGTGGTCTCAGGTCACTCACGTGTCAATGGCTTGTTGGAATTTCCCGACTCTGGCAAAAACCCTGCCAATGTTGTCCAAGGCTCTGGACTTGGCATCAGGAAGATCACTGTAGGGAAGAAGCAAGACAAGGTCATTCTAGGCACTATGGAAACTAGAAAGAAGGTAAAGATGGGCCAGCTGGGGGGACAATGCCCAGGCTGGCAAGGCTGAGGTACTGTGGCCCTCTCGTGGGAATGGACATTATCGGAATCTCTCTGGAAGGCAAACAGGCAACAGCCTACAAAGACACCCCTTTGGTCCTGCAACTCCCCTTCTAGAAATTTACTTCCAGAAGATGTGACAAGAAGACTCATTAAAGTATTGTTTATAATAATAAACAGTGGAAATAATCTAAATACAATCAGTGCAATTTTTGTGTACAAAAAATGTCCTTGATACGTTTAGGTTAAAAAATCAGATTATGAAAAAAAAAATCAGATTATGAAAAAAAAAAGTCAGATTATAGGAGCTCGCACAATGTCCAATGCCCTATTCATCTTAAAAATGAATGTGTTTGCAACAAAAAGAATAAAATACTTAGGAGTATATCTACCTAAAGAAACAAAAGATCTATACATAGAAAACTATAAAACACTGATGAAAGAAATCAAAGAGGACACAAACAGATGGAGAAATATACCGTGTTCATGGATTGGAAGAATCAATATTGTCAAAATGGCTATACTACCCAAAGCAATCTATAGATTCAATGCAATCCCTATCAAACTACCAACGGTATTTTTCACAGAACTAGAACAAATAATTTCACAATTTGTATGGAAATACAAAAAACCTCGAATAGCCAAAGTAACCTTGAGAAAGAAGAATGGAACTGGAGGAATCAACCTGCCTGACTTCAGACTATACTACAAAGCCACAGTCATCAAGACAGTATGGTACTGGCACAAAGACAGAAATATAGATCAATGGAACAGAATAGAAAGCCCAGAGATAAATCCACAAACCTATGGTCACCTTATCTTCGACAAAGGAGGCGAGGATATACAATGGAAAAAAGACAACCTCTTTAACAAGTGGTGCTGGTAAAACTGGTCAACCACCTGTAAAAGAATGAAACTAGAACACTTTCTAACACCATACACAAAAATAAACTCAAAATGGATTAAAGATCTAAATGTAAGACCAGAAACTATAAAACTCCTAGAGGAGAACATAGGCAAAACACTCTCCGACATAAATCACAGCAGGATCCTCTATGACCCACATCCCAGAATTTTAGAAACAAAAGCAAAAATAAACAAATGGGACCTAATGAAACTTGAAAGCTTTTGCACAACAAAGGAAACTATAAGCAAGGTGAAAAGACAGCCCTCAGATTGGGAGAAAATAATAGCAAATGAAGCAACAGACAAAGGATTAATCTCAAAAATATACAAGCAACTCCTCCAGCTCAACTCCAGAAAAATAAATGACCCAATCAAAAAATGGGCCAAAGAACTAAACAGACATTTCTCCAAGGAAGACATACAGATGGCACAAAAACACATGAAAAGATGCTCAACATCACTCATTATCAGAGAAATGCAAATCAAAACCACAATGAGGTACCATTACATGCCAGTCAGGATGGCTGCTATCCAAAAGTCTACAAGCAATAAATGCTGGAGAGGGTGTGGAGAAAAGGGAACCCTCTTACACTGTTGGTGGGAATGCAAACTAGTACAGCCACTATGGAAAGCAGTGTGGAGATTTCTTAAAAAGCTGGAAATAGAACTGCCATATGACCCAGCAATCCCACTTCTGGGCATACACTCCAAGGAAACCAGATCTGAAAGAGACACGTGCACCCCAATGTTCATCACAGCACTGTTTATAATAGCCAGGACATGGAAGCAACCTAGATGCCCATCAGCAGACGAATGGATGAGGAAGCTGTGGTACATATACACCATGGAATATTACTCAGCCATTAAAAAGAATTCATTTGAATCAGTTCTAATGAGATGGATGAAACTGGAGCCCATTATACAGAGCGAAGTAAGCCAGAAAGATAAAGACCATTACAGTATACTAACACATATATATGGAATTTAGAAAGATGGTAACGATAACCCTATATGCAAAACAGAAAAAGAGACTCCTATGTATAGAACAGACTTGTGGACTCTGGGAGAAGGCGAGGGTGGGATGTTTCAAGAGAACAGCATCAAAACATGTATATTATCTAGGGTGAAACAGATCACCAGCCCAGGTTGGGTGCATGAGACAAGTGCTTGGGCCTGGTGCACTGGGAAGACACAGAGGGATTGGGTGGAGAGGGAGGTGGGAGGGGGGACCGGGATGGGGAATACATGTAAATCCATGGCTGATTCATTTCAATGTATGACAAAAACCATTGCAATGATGTAAAGTAATTAACCTCCAACTAATAAAAATAAATGGAAAAAAAAATGAATGTGTGGGGGACTTTCCAAGTGGTCCAGTGGTTAAGAATCTGTCAATGCAAGGGACACAAGTTCGATCTCTGGTCCAGGAAGATGCCACCAGCTGTGGGGCAACAAATCCCGAGCTCTAGAACCCGGGAGCCCCAACTACTGAAGCCTGCATACCCTAAGACCTGTGGTCTGCAACAGAAGAAGCCACTGCAAGAAGAAGCCTGTGCATCACAACTAGAGGGTAGCTGCCGCTTGTCACAACCAGAGAAAGCCTGCGTGCACCAACAAAAACCCAGCGCAGCCAAAAATAAATTTTTAAAAAATATCTCCTTCCCAACAAATAAACCAAGAAACCCAACCTGAGCCCCCTCCCACAGCATCCCCCTCATTCCTCCTTCTCTGGCCAGCTCCCCCTCTTCCCATTGTCCCCCAGCCCCTCAGCCCCCAAACCCCAGAGGCAGGAAGCTCTGCTCTGACTCCCTCTCCTCACAGGGCTGGGCTGCCTTCTCACATGTAAATCTGACCAAGCCCTCCCTCCCCCCACAGACATACCCACGCTTGTCTGCGGTCTCACTGGAGCTCTGTGTGTGCTGGCAAAGGGGAGCAGCCTCAGTGGCTGCCCAGGGATGGGGTTACGCACGTTATTGCAGGTGCCGAAACACCTTTCTCTGAAGCCATTCAAAGAATGAGACGTTCCTTTCCAAGACACAGGCTTTTAAAAAAAAAAAAAAGACCCACAGAAATGGGTCATTTCTGTTTTAAAAATCCTATGGGGAAACTTCCTTGGTGCTCCTGTGGCTAAGACTCCATGCTCCCAGTGTGGAGTTGGGGGAGGCTCTCTCGGTGTGATCCCTGGTCAGGGAACTAGATCTCACATTCCGCCACTAAGAGTTTGTAAGCTCCAGCTAAGGATCCCACATGCTGCAACCAAGACCCAGCACAGCCACATAACGGAATATTTATTTTTTTAAAATCCTATGTATATGCACATGTACACAAGTAAATATGTTGCAAAGGGGCCAGGAGGACATTATCTCAATGTGGCCCCCAGATTGGGGAGAGGGGAGATGTCTGAGTTCTGCTCTCAGAACCATACATCCTGGGTCAAGTACGATGCCTCTGGGACTGGTGTGAGAACAGGCTCCTATCGACTCTCCCTCCTCAGCGGGGCTCCCCTCCTCCCACTCCCCACAGGTCCTGGCCCCCCAAACACTACCTGGAGTGCCCCAAACCCCCCACCCCTGCCCTGTCCCTCTGCCTCAGGGGGCCACTCCCTGGCCCTATCTCCCCCGTCTCTCAGAGGCTCCCTCATCTCCCCTCTCTGGGGCTCCTGGGCCAAGTTTGCAGCTCTGATGTTGGCTCCCCCTTCCAGAGTGGCTGCTCTGTTGTGGTGTGAATAACTAAGTTGACATATGTTGATTTATTCATAACAGTGATGTGTACTAAGATAACTAAGTAATGTGTGCTAAGATGTGCAGGATGGGGAAAGCCTGCAATCAAATCATCCATACAGTAATCACGGGAAGAAATGAGGGCTGACTGAGGTCACTGGAGAAGCTACTCAGACTAGTCGGAGTTGAGACACGGCTGGAAGGATGGTGGTCTTTGGAGGGGGGGTGGGGGCTGATCTGATTGAGGAAGCATGTGAGGCATACACATGAGACTCACGGGTGAGACTGGAGGCCCGTGTACAGAGACTGAAAAGGAATCAACGTTGCTGAAGGAACATCACTGTTTACGTAATCAGCCGCTAAGCACGTATTCACTGCATGTCCTTTATAGGGCAGGTGCAGGGGAAAGAATGGGAATAGAGAAGTCTAAGGTAGAGGAATCAGGTGGAGAGGGAGGTGGGAGGGGGGATCGGGATGGGGAATACATGTAAATCCATGGCTGATTCATGTCAATGTATGACAAAAACCACTACAATATTGTAAAGTAATTAGCCTCCAACTAATAACAATAAATCGGAAAAAAAAAAAGTCTAAGGTCCATCAGGCAGACGAAACGTGTGGCATGTGGAGGGGGAGCGTGGATGAGGGCTGCTAGGTCACTCTGGGCGCATGGAGGGCTTTCCCCAGGGGGAAATACTTCTTTACAATCTGAAGGACAGGGAGGAGGGAGCTGATGAAGAAAGCGCTGGCAAAAGAGTAGGAGCAGAGCCATGCGCTGTTGCCAGGGTTCAGAATGCCCAAGGGCCTGGAGACAGCCGAGTTAACAGAGATCAGGACAAGTCACGTCAGCAAGGGCGGGCCGGGCGATGGGACTGAACTATGCACTACGTTTTGCATAGAAGGGCCAGCTGGGCAGCAGGAAACCCAGGTCAGAGGAAATAGGCAAGAAGTGAGGAAGATGTGGATGCAGCTGTGGGAGGGGAATGGAAGGGAAGATTCTCTTGATAGGAGGAGGCATGGACAGGACGTAGCAGGCTGGCGTGGGCAGCGAAGGAAGCGAGGTGTCTGGGAAGCCAGGTGGCTCCTTCCTGGGGACAACACGGCCACCAGTGCCATTCTCCTGGAAAGGGAGCCCTAGTGTAAGAGGTCTTGAAGGAAGATGATGGATTCCACTTTGGATATGTTAAACTGGGGGCTCCCATGAGACATCAAGTGGAAATGCCTCAGATTCTGCTGGATATGTGAAGATTTATGTCTTTAAGGCATGGGAAAAGATTGGATCCAAGATACTGTCTGTACTTCAAATTCCCCATGAGGCAGTATTATCATGCCTTCATTAGAGATGAGGAAACTGAGAGAGTGAGCAACTTAAAACCACACTGCTTCAAGTGCCCCAGGAAGGAATCAAAGCCAGGTCAGTCTCCAAAGTTAGCCGTTGTTTGCGAACCAGGAACGCCCAACACATGAGATTCTGGCTGTGCAAGGTGGGAGGCCAGTGAGAAATGAACTGGAAATGGATGGACAACTTACAGGGTTCCGGTCATTGAGCACAGGACAGGAGGCAGGTGTGTTCAGGAAATCCAGTTTGACCCAAAGAGTGGCCTGACATTGGAGGGTTGTGCAGAAGTGGATTCAGAGAGGGCCCTGAGTGCCCAGGAAAGGTCCATTTGATTTGAACCTGCAGGCAGTGAGAGGCCAAGGCCTGTTTGTCAGCAGGAAAACAGTTGACAGATAAGAAGTAGTGCGTCTCTGGAGGTGACCTGTGAGAGCAGCTGGGGACAGGGAGAGCCAAGGGCTGACCTGCGTGGACACGGGAGGATGGGAGACTGAGGGGGTTTAGAACTGCGGGGCGAGTAAAACTGGGCAAGACCAAGTCAGGAACGACTCCAGAGGTTGGAACCAGGGTGCCCAGTAAGTGATGGTACCTCTGGGAGGGGCCATCAAGTCTTGGGAAGAGTTGGTTCCTATGAGAGCTGATGTTACAATAGTCATCATGGATACACAGTGCTGTTCTGAGATCTTTATGTGAATTTCTGCATGCCATTCTTCTTCCCACCCTACTGGGTAGGGGCTACCACTGTGCCCCTTTGACAGAGGCTGAGAGACGTTAGTTAAGTGCCCTGCCTAAGGCCCCCCAGCTGTAAGGTACAGCTCAGAAGCCTAAGCTCTTGGGACTTTCCTCTTGGTTCAGTCGCTAAGACTCCGCACTCCAATGCAGAGGGCCCAGGTTCGAACCCTGGTCAGGGAACTAGATCCCACATGCTGCAATTAAAAGATCCTGCATGCCACTGTGGAGACTGAAGATCCTGAAGTCTGCAACTAAGACCTGGCACAGCCAAACAAATAAATAAAATGATAAGTATTTTTTAAAAAATAAAAATATCCCTAAGAGCCAAACCACAGGGAGCTTTTTGGAGTTTGGGGCCTCTACCCTCCCTCTTTGTGGCAAAAAAGCTGACAGTCTAGATGTGCCCTTGTCCTGGGGAGGTGGCTCCTCACTCCAGGGTATCCACCTCAGGCATGCAGAGCAGAAAGCGGGGGCTCGGCCCCCATCCCCAGTGAAAGGTCAGTATGTAGCTGGGCCTTGACTGCTTGGCCTTCCGAGCCTATGCAGGCACTCACTACTCCTTGGCGATCTCCAGGTCCTTCCTGTGGCTCTGCAGGGCCGCCACCATCTGCCCCAGCTCGATCTGGGCATTCCCTATGCAGCTGTACAGGTTTCCCACCAGTTCATCCTTGTTGGGCACCTCCTCTTTGTTCCATTCCAGCACCTTCTTCAGCACTTTCTCAGCTTTCTGAAGGCTGCCTTCAGCACTGCCGCTAGTCAGCACTGGGAAAGGAAAGAGGTGTAGTGGAGAGGGGAGCAGTCTCCCCCTGGCCAACAGAAGAGCCCGCATCCCAAACCCCACCCCGCCCCAGATTCCATCCAGCGGCCAAGCGAAGCCAGGGCGCTCCAGCTGCCATATGGCTCTGTCCCCAGCTGGCCACAGGGCAGCCCTTCTGAGAATACCACCCACACATGTCAATGTCCTCCAGACTCTTGAGGATGTAGCGGGCTGTCTGCGAGGGACGGCGTTTGCGGTCCCGCAGCCACTTCTCTTGCATCAATTTCCGGTCCCGCTCCCTGGCGTAGATGGGCTTCTGCTGCCGCCAGAAGTCACTGCGCGTGTCCAGGTAGTTGATGCCCGTCATGATGAGGTCCTCCACGGTCAGGCCACGCTTGATGGTGCCTTTGATCAGATCTGTGGGGAAGGGGGTGGGGAGGAGCCAACTGGAACAGGGATGGAGGGGAGTCACCTCCTCTCAACTAAAGCTGTCCTTGGGGGGACCTCTACCTGGAACTGTGGGACAGTAACGAGATCAAGAGCACCTGGGTGGGAGGGGGGGGGTCTATCTGGGACCAGATGAAGCCAGAGCTCCCACTTTGGGGCAATCCTATGGTACAGGGCTTAGGGCATTGGCCCCTCATGGCAAGACATGATGAGCTAGCAGAAGCAGCAGCTGGTGGATTGCTTTCTAAGAGCCCTCGGGGCTCCTTTATTTCAAGCTGTGTCCTTAGAGTAGTCCAAATAGAAATGCACAACCTGGCCCTGGCTGCCAGTGCTCAGTGAGTCCCTGGGTGCCAAGTGGGCCAGGGCAAACTGGGAGCCAGAGGGGCATGCCCGAGCTCTCCTCGCTCACCTGAGCAGAGGTCAGAAACGGGAGTAAAGCTTCAAGGCCTCTTGGGTAACATGTGGGCCACCTCTCCCCTCCCTGGAAGCTCCTCTGTAGAGAGGGAAGCGTCCAGGCCTGTTACAGAGGAGACGGGCCAGCCATGAAGCTGCTCCTGAGATGCAACCCGCAGGGAATCCTACAGAGGACCTTGGGAAGTCAGTTCTGGAGAAAAGCCCTTGGATTTGAGAGTGATCCCTGTGCGGGCTCAATAGCTAATGGCAACACTCCCACCGCCAGTGTTCATACGAGACATTCACTTCCAGGCACATTCCTATTTCTTGTTCCTGCCAGTGTGGAACAGCGGGAAGAGTGTGGAACTGGAGGTTAGGAGGCCTGGGTGCTGCTGTCAACTCCACCACTAACTTGCTTGTCACCTTGGACAAGTTACTCCCCATTCAGGGTCTCTCTTTCCTTACCGATAACAGGAGGGATAAGACCAGATGAGATTTTAGGACATTCTAATTCCACAGTCCTAACAGTCCCTTGTGAGCACCTCTGAGCTGGATTCCTTTGCCCTTGGTACCCACTGAAGGCTCAGGGGGCTGCCCCTTCAGGGACCAAGGTGGTAAAGAAAGCCAGATCTCTGGCGTTCCCACCCAGGGTACCAGAGCACTTAAGAGTACTGGTTCTGAAACTGGACTTCTTGGCTTCCAATCTGAGAACTGCATCACTGAGTTACGTAACCTCCCTATGCCTCGGTTTCCTCATCTGTAAAGTGAGAATGGTAGTGGAACCTGTCCAGAGGAACGTGTCAGCAAATATCATTTTATAGGCTTTGCCTCTGGTTCATGTGTTAAGCATCCATCCCAGGTTTTCTTTGCCCTGAGTTCCCTGCTGCAAACAAAGTGTGCGACACCTTCGTCCAACAGGAGCTTCTCCAGATACTCCTTGTCCACGTAGAGTTCGCCCAGGAGCTGGCGGACAATCTTCTCGCTCTTGAGCGAGCCCTTCCGCTTGCTCTCTCTCTTGGGGTGGTGTACGAGCTGTCTCACGGGATGAGGCTTCTGCTGGGCTCGCTTACTCTGGGAAGATGGAGCAGTACCCCCACAAAGTCTCAGAAAGGAGCCCAGAGCACCAGCCAAGGCTCCCCGAGCCTGTGATCCCAGACCCCCCCCCCCCACCCAGGACTTCTGTGCGCTGAGAACCATGGAGGATGTCTGGTACGGGAACAGCGCGTGGGAGCTGGGGCAGAACCCCCTGACCGCCTAGGCTGGGCAGGAGCTCCTCACTTGCAGGCACTCAGAGCCACTGAACTGTGTGCTCCTCAGGCACGTGTGGCCTCTGCCTTCTGAGGGAGGTGGAGTCACAGCCAGGCCCTTACCTCGGCCTGCTTGCTTAAGAAGGACAGGTCCCCTTTGTTCTCCAGTTTAATAGAAGAGGGACCTGCAAAGACAGAAGCTGGGGCTCAGGTCGGCAGTGGCCTTAGGCACAACCTATCACACATTTTGTGTGGAAATAGTTGGCCTTTGGTGGTAGGGTGGAACCTGGCTCAACTCTCTCCAAGCAGCCAAGCCACCCCCACTAGCCCAAGGCCACATTTCCAAACAAAGACAGGCCCTGGATACCAGGGCCCCTTTCCATTTACACACACTGCCACCCACAGTGGCAAGCCCCCCTCCCCCGCCAAACACCTGCACACAATGAATGGATGGGACAGCCAGCCTTTAGTGCCTGTGGGGTAAGGGAGGAAGGCAGGGGCCAGGAAAGACCCTGCTCAGAACCTCATTCTGTACTATGACACCAGGCCAAAAAGAGGCCTACTCTTCTGGCTTGGGGTGAGTGAAATGGTGCTTTTCATCTGGTTTTGAAGAGAACCAGATGCTGCAGTGCTCAGGACAGTGGACTGGAGACTATCCTCCCGTGGACAGTTTCTACTCCTCAAGAAAATCAGGAGCAGCCAAATCTAAGCTAGGGGCTCCCTCTAGTCCTCCCAGTGGTGGGTGCTCACCCAGTGTACCTGAGGCCTCCCTCCAAACCTAAGGATTCCAAGAGCCTCCCAAATAAGCGCATAGGCCTCATGGCCACTCACTTCCCACCGAGTTGTTGATGGCTTCCTGGGCTTTCTGAATTCCAACTTTGAATTCCCGATCAGGCCTCAGCTTGTAGCCCCGATGGTAGAACACCAAGGCAAATTCAAAGTCGCCCATGGTGTACAGGGTCTCGGCCTTTTGTAAAATCCCCTGAAATGAGAGGAAGTCAAATCAAGGGGAACAGACAAAGCCTTCCCAGGCTCAGGTGTGGTGGAATGTAAGGACCCCTGGGTTGAGAACAAATGTTGGGATACAGGGGCAGAGGCAAGTGATCTATGAAGGAAAACAACAGTCAACTCCAGGCAGTCTGGCTGGCTCTTTAACCATTAGAGGCTGCTGCAGGTAGAGGCAGAGAGAAAAGCGAGGAGTCCTCCCACCCAAACAGTCACCTTGCAGAAAGTTGGGTCACCCTGGAGTGAAGCCTCAGCATCTTCCAGGGATTTTTCCAGCTCTCCCATCTTGAGGAAGCACTTGGAGCGGGCAACCAAGCAGTTCTTATCTCCGCTCTGAAGGTGAAGAGCCTGAAGAAGGAACCACTCGGATTAACAGGCATCTGGCAGGGTGAAGTAAGAAGCTGGACTGGACACAGCAGCCCAAACCCTTCTGCCAGAGTTGCAGGGGGACTCCATAGGCCAGCAAACAGGTCTTCTTTAGATCCTTTCAGACTAAAACCAGCACCACCCTGATCTCTGCTTAGTCAACTAGGTTATCTGCAGGTAGTCATCATGGACAAGGTCAAATCACAAGCTATTGTGGAAACCACTGGTTGAGATGTGAGAATATACTATACTACCCAGTGGATATACTGAACTTCCCCAGTGTCTGGGATTCCTCCAGTTCACTTAGAATCCTAGGGTGTTTAGTGCTTAACAAATTCAACCGTGAACCTGAAATGGTTGCACAACACATTCAAAATACTACTTGAAGGAGACTTCTCTGGTGGTCCAAGGGGTAGGAATCAGCTTTGCAATGTAGGGGTTGTGGGTTCAAGCTCTGGTCGGGGGACTAAGATCCAACATGCCACACGGCAGCTAAGCCCATGTGGCACAACTACTGAGCCCAGGTGACAAAACTAGAGAATCCGTGTGCCACAACGGAAGATCCCATGACATGACAAGGGATAACATAATGAAGACTCCGTGGGCTGCAACTAGGACCCCATGCAGCCAAATAAATAAATATAAAAAAAATACTATTTGGAGATTAAGCATTCTGAAGGCTAACAAAATGGATTTTAGGATGATCTGCAACTTGTGTTACCCATTGTATACACCCTCTCTTTTTACATAGCTTGTTGAGAATCAATCATTGTTTCAGGGGATTAAGATGAAAATGCCAGGCAAAAGGAAACTGTGATTTTGGACCGGAAGTGGGAATGGAAAGCCTCTCCTTGTCCCCATGTCCTTTCTTCTCCTGTCTGAGATCATTACATAGTCTGCAGTGTGATGTCCTTTCTGAGGCACCAGATTGTACCCACTTCCATCCAAAACCTTCCTACTTTTCCAGAAAGAGCCTTTCTTTCCTAGAAAAGACCACTTCTCACCCAAAGTTATAAGCCCTTGTGGTGTTTTTTTTCCCTACCTGAGCTTCTCCAAGATGAAACAGTTTCCAGAAAAAGGAGAATGAATGGGGCAAGGCTCCTGAACTTAATTGCTGGCCCATCTGATCCATTATTTCTGGTTTTAGGATGTGGTTGGTGATCCAAAGGGACTAAAGACTCTAGGTAGCAACTGAGAAGTTTGACTTTAGAGGGAGTCTTGGGACACGTTAGAGAGCTATGCTACCACCCCATTATTTGTAACAAGCGGGCTATTTGTTGTAAAAGAAACAGTCATAATAAAACATCCAATAACTTATTTGCAAGACAGTACAGTAGTGTATGATGATAAGGTTAGCACCTCAGCACTGAAGTCTGACTGCCTGAGTTTGAATCCTTCCTCTGGCACCTGCTAGTTCAGTGATCTTAGGCATGTTACTCAACTTCTATAAAAGCTTTCTTATCTTCAAAATGGCATAATAACAGCACCTCCCCCTAAGCTTGCCACTTAGCAGTATGTCTGGTATCCTAAAACAGCACTCAACCCCCTTAGGGTGGATTGGAACAATTTATACTACAGCAAAAGTTGTTATTTATTGACCGACCACCTTCCATAGCAGCTGTGTGCCAGAGACTTCCCTTCGGCAAGCAGTCCCCCAGCCAACCTCCTGGCCAGTTATGGGAAACTGAGGAAGGAGGCCAATCACGAAACATTTGAGCAAAAATATAGGAGACGGGGTCACTCTTAGCGCAGAGGTTGATTGTTAACAACCAGGTAGAATACAAATGGGAAATGGTAGAAAATGGCTAAACAGGAGTTTATCTTTGACAGCGGTGCATCAATCAAACAATGGAATAATGGAAACAAGAGGGTGGTCCAGGCATCATCAAGACCTCAGTGAAGGGTAGCTGAAAGGTTCATTGCACGACTCACATTGCTGAAGCTATGGGCGGCTTTAGCGAACTCCCCGCATAGATACAGCCGCTCGCCCTCCGCCATGTAAGATGGAAAGGTGCTTCGCAAGACTTCATTTTCTGGGTCCGCCATGGTGACAGAATTCGGAGACGATGAAGCGGAGAAAGGAAGGAAAAGAAGCCTGAGAACTTCAGTCTGGTTTGTGGAAGCTCCGTCTCTTAGCAACCGGGAGACATAAATTACTTCCGGCCCCGCCCCTCGAGCGCGGGGCGGAGTCCGGCGCGCAACCGCCGCCTGTGTAGCTGGTGCCTAGGAAGCCGCGCACTGGTTGGACCACGACGAGCGCGTGGCTCTTCGCTTCAAGGAGGCCTCTTTGCGACTTGTAGTGTTGGCAATTGCACGCTCCAGCGGTTTTTCCCGGAGTTGCTTCGCATTCAGAAGCCACAGTCAGGAAAAAAAAAAAAATTGACAACTCGGAAGACAAGGAAAAGATTGGGGGCATAATTCCAAATAGGGGTAAGGCATTCGTGGCAAGTATTTGTGCACGTGTACCACCCTCAAGAGTGAGCCACTTGGTGACTCCAGACGGCCAAGAATCTGCCAGCAATGCAGAGACCTGAGTTTGATCCCTGGGTCGCAAAGATCCCCTGGAGAAGGAAATGGCAACCCACTCCAGTCCACGGACAGGGGAGCCTGGCAGGCTCCAGTCCATGGGGTCGCAAAGAGTCAGACGTGAAAGTGAAGTCGCTCAGTCGTGTCTGACTCTTTGCGACTCCATGGACTGGAGCCCCTCAGGCTCCTCCGTTCATGTGATTTCCAACCAAGAATACTGGAGCGGAATACCATTTCCTTCTCCAAGGGATCTTCCCGACCCAGGGATCGAACTCCGCTCTCCTGCATTGCAGGCAAACTCTTTTACTGTCTGAGCACAGGGGAATCCCATTGAGCTACATAAGCTGCTGGATACATAAGCACCTGGCTGGTTAGCACAGTTGGTTAGAGCGAGGTGCTAATAACGCCAAAGTCCTGGGTTCAGCCCCTATACAGGCCAGACTGCAAGGATATGATTCAGCGGCTGAACACAAACACCATCAAAAGGGGACAGCATTGGGCTCCGAAGTCAGAGTGCTTGGGCTGTCACAGAGCAGGGCACCAGGCCTTAAATTTTCACTTTTGCCAAGGGAAAGTGAAGATGAACCTTCCCGGGGTGAGGATATGCATTAGGCTACATGGAAAATTACTCTGAGTTCAACCTTTCAGTGTAACACATTTAGTGAGCACCTGCTAGTGGCGGGCTCTCACGTCTTCAAGGTCTTTACTGACATCCTCCCCCATCCCCCTACTCTCCCTGCTCCCCTCTAATAAAAGGTGGGCCAGGTTCTTCTAAGTTCCAAGAAACACTTTATTTTTACATTATTTTTAAAAATTATTTATTTGGCTGCCAGAGGTCTTAGTTGTAGCTCTGGAAATCTTTGATCTTTGTTGTGTGTGGTATGTGGGGATCATTTTAGTTGTGGCATGTGGGATCTAGATGAAACTGGGACACCCCCCCCTCCAACCCCTCTAGTCCCCCTACCCCCACATTGGGAGCCCAGAGTCTTAGCCACTGGACCACTAGGTAAGTCCCCTTACTACATTACTTTAGAATGGTCAACTTCCAAGCCAACGAAATTGTGAGGGTCTTAGCCTTGTGTACATTAGTGGACATTCAAAAAAAATAATTATTAAGGTTTAAATATTAAGAAGATATCCTTAACTACACACAAATGAGTACATGTAAAACTTGAGAAATATGCATAAGATCTGTGTCTATTTTCTGGCTGTGATATTTGCACTAAAGTTTTTCAAAATGTTACCATTGGAGGAAACTGGATAAAGGGTACATGGGATGTCTTTATATCCTTTCTTAAAGCTGCATAGGAATCTGTAGCTATCTCTGTGCTGTGCTTAGTTGCTCACTCATGTCCAACTCTTTGTGATCCCATGGATTGTAGCCCACCAGACTCCTCTGTCCACGAGGCTTCTCCAGGCAAGAATACTTGAGTGGGGGGTTACCATGCCATCCTCCAGGGGACCTTCCCAACCCAGGGATTGAACCCAGATCTCCCACATTGCAGGTGGATTCTTTACCATCTAAGCCACCAGGGAAACCCAAACATGGTCTGCACCTCCAGGGACTCAAACCTGGGTTGCAAGAATGGGAATCTTCCACGATACCACTACACCAGCAGTGTGATGTAGTTATCTCAAAATGAGTTTAGTTTTGTAAAGAATAACTTTAGTATGAATATAAAAAAATATAACACAGTTCCTTCCCTGGAAGAGTTCTGTCTAATCAGGGAGAGAGATACATAAACAGTAAACTACCCAAAGTGATATTGTTATTCAAAGTTCTGTGGGCCTGTGAGGGAGATGAGGATAGACTTACTTTCAAGCTGTAGTAATGGTATCAGTGTAAAGATAGTTAAATAGATCAATGGAACAGGATAGAGTCCATAAATAGATTCACACATAGTTGATTAATTAATGTTGCTAAAGAAACTCATTGGGGAAAGGATAATCTTTTGGACAAGTAGTGTTGGAAAAATTGGGTGACCAAAGGGCTTCCCTCGTGGCTCAGTTGTTAAAGAATCCGCCTGCAATTCGGGAGACCTGGGTTTGATCCCTGGGTTGGGAAGATCCCCTGGAGAAGGGAATGGCTACCCACTCCAGTATTCTGGCCTGGAGAATTCCATCGGCTGTATGGTCCATGGCGTTGCAAAGAGTCAGACATGACTGAGCAACTTTCACTATGCCAAAATAAAATAAACAAAAATCTGACCCTTACCTTATGTAATATAGACAGATTAACTCAAAAGATTTAAATGTAAGAGGTAGAATTATAAAACCAGAAAAATAGGTGAATGTAATAGAGTGAAAAACAAAAAACAAATGTGATGTCATCAAAGTGAAAATTCTTTGTTCTTCAAAATAACACTATTGGGCCTTCCCTGGTGGCTCAGTGGTAAAGAATCCACTGCCAATGCAGAAGACATAGGTTTGATCCCTGATCTGGGACGATCCCAAGTGCCAAGGAGCAACTAAGCCTTGGAGCCACAACTACTGAGCTTAAGCTCTAGAGCCTGGCGTCTGCAACTATTGAGCCCACGTGCCACACTAATGAAGCCTGCATGCCCTAGAGCCTGTATTCTGCTATGAGAAGTCACTGCAGTGAGAAGCCTGCGCACCACAACTGGGGAGTAATCTCCATTCGTTGAAATCAGAGAAAAGCCAACACAACAATGGAGACCCAGCATAGCCAAAAATAAATAAATAAAATTATACTTTTTAAAAAACAACAAAGGTAAGAAAATTAAAAGGTGAGCCACAGACTGGGACAAAATATTTGCAAAACATCTATCTGACAAAGAATTTGTATGCACAATAAATAAAGAGCTCTTACAACTCCATATAACAAGGCAAATAAAAAGTGAGCAAAAGATTTTAATAGCTATATCATCAAAGAAGATATACGGATGGTCAATTAGCATATGAAATATGCTCCAGTGTCTTTAGTCTTTAGGAAATACAAAATAAATCCCACAAGTAAACACTGATGCATACTTCTAGAATGGTTAAAGTGAAAAAAGACTGAATTTACCAGGTGTTGATGAAGATGGTAAGTAACCAGAATTCTCATATACTGCTGGTGAGAATGTAAAATGGTTCAACCTCTGTGGGAAATGGTTTGGCAGCGTCTTAAAAAGTTCAACACACTTACCATGTGACACAGCCAGTCTGCTCTTAGGAATTTACCCAAGAGAAATTAAACCTGTATGAGAACATCCACATTAGTTTTATCTATAATAGCCCCAAAGTGGAAACATTTCCAATCAACAGGTGAACAGATAAATCATAGTTTATCTTCGTGATGGAATACTGCTGCTGCTACTGCTGCTAAGTCTCTTCAGTCGTGTCCGACCCTGTGCAACCCCATAGATGGCAGCCCAGGAGGCTCCCCCATCCCTGGGATTCTTCAGGTAAGAACACTGGAGTGGGTTGCCATTTCCTTCTCCAATGCATGAAAGTGAAAAGTGAAAGTGAAGTCGGTCAGTCTTGTCCGACTCTTCGCAACCCCATTGGACTGCAGCCTACCAGGCTCCTCCATCCATGGGATTTTCCAGGCAAGAGTACTGGAGTGGGTTGCCATTGCCTTCTCCGGATGGAATACTACTTAGCTGTAAAAAGGAAAGAACTATTGATACATGCATAATATGGATAAACCTCAAAGAAACTATGCTGAACAAAGCAATTCATACAAAAAAGACTATATGATTCAATTTATATAGAATTTTAGAAAATGCAAACATAATCTTTATTTCCCAAAAGAAAAATGATGTATCCTGGGAACACAGAGTTAGGACAGGGAGGGATTGATTACAAAAGAGTAGAAGGAAACTTTGGGAGATGAAGGATGTGTGTATTATCTTTTTTTTTTTTTTGGCCATGCCACCAAGCTCTTTGGATCTTAGTTCCTTGATTAGGGATTGAACTCAGGGTCTCAGCAGTGAGAGGGCAGAGTCATAACCACTGGATGGCCAGGGAATTCCCTATGTGTATGATCTTGACTGTGGTAACATTTTCATTGTGTACACGTGTGTTAAAACTCATCGAATTGTGTGCCTTAAATGTGTAAATTTCACCATACTTCAATGACATCAATAAAGATGCTTTTAAAGCTCCAACAAAATAATAACAGTAATGTGTGCTTTTTGGCAGCTTACAAAATACTTTGTGATCTTCACAGCACCTGAAGAAGGGAGGAAGCAGAGTATCTGCCTGGTTTCCCAGATGAAACACAGGGCCTGGGAGAGGTAACAGGGTTTGCCCTAAGCTACAACACCAGAATATAGGTAAGTTGAGCTGGGCCCCATGCCTTGGGTTGGATTGGTAGAGTAGAAGTCACTGGGATTGGATCCCCATCTGTCCCAGCCATTTACTAGCTGATCTCGTTTGGTTACTTCTTTATTTGTTATTTTATTGTGAATTAGAATATAGATACCATGGGATCATGGAGTCGGACATAACTGAACAACTGAACAACAGCAACAATGGAAACATTGATAAAACACATACGTGCAGTTTAATAAATA